TCTGTTTCTGTGTCCAGCTTCCTGCCAATATGCACCCTGGGAGGCAGCAGATGCCCCTGTCTCCCCCTCCCTCCCCCCCCCCTTCTCTCTCCTTTCAAAAAGAATACCTAATCATAGACCTCTGGTCTCAATTGAAGCAGTTCAAGAGAGTCATCAACCACTTCTTTGTACTACATTTGAAGAAACCTGAAGAGCAGGTTTCTCTCTCCTATAAAACCATGGAAAGCAAACCAGCCCTGTTCCCAAGCAAGGAGGCTTTGTGCAAACAACACAGCAGGTGTCAGATCTTCTTCTGATTCCCTGATAAACAAAGGGTCACGATCTGGTGACGTCAGGGGTCTCCTCGGGCCCTCCCTCAGCACACAGGGGGTGCAGATGAACCCAAAGTCACCAATGACCCCATCGCAGCATATCCTAACTTTGAAATGCATTCATCACAGCTCATCTACCCAACATCCTAACTCAGCAACACAGCCCTGAAGAGCACCCCTGTTCCCCTTGGTGACAGCAGAGGCAGCTGGGAGCCACAGCGGCTGCCACTGCCCAGCCTCGCAAGAGGGGGTCACCTCACAATACCACAAGTGCAGGGCAAGCTCAGATTCGAAGTATGGATTCTTCTGCACGCCTTTTCCTTCCACACCATCGTGAAGTTGAAAAATCACGTAAGCCAGACCACCACAAGCTAGGGACAGTTTGTAGCAAGAAGCAGAATGGGTGAGACTTACAGGGGTTCAGAGACAGAGCTGGGGCGAGGGTGGGACAAGTGAGGTACCTAGAACCCGCAGCGAAGACTGGAGAGCGAGCACCACTTTGGGCTGTGGGCCCCAGGCTTGCGCTGGCCAGGGGAAGCCAGCAAGGCCACCCCTGGGCAAGCAATGCCGGCAGAGCGCCGAGAAGCAGCCCAATTTCTCTTTTAGGTTCACTGTGGACAATCCCCCCGCCCAGTGATCTCCCTTGCTCCTCTCTCCGTTCCACCAGCACCACCTGCCAGGCCTCCCCAGGACCCTGCGCTCGACTGCACGCCTCGAAGGAGGTTCTGGAATGCCTCCATGCAGCCTGGACAGATCCCTCCTCCCCTGCGGCCGGTACCAAGGCGAGCGGCAGGGGGAGGGGGCGGGACAGCACGGGCCTCAGGCCCAGACACCCCCCAGGGCCGCCCCCATTGCAGAGACCCCACCAGAGACAGACAAGGCAACGTCACCCAGGGGGAAGGATGGGATTTGGAGGCCCAAGGATGGGCCTTGATGATGATTAAGCCTGGCTGTCATGCCCTGGGTGGTTACTAGGCACTACGTATTATTTCAGCACCATTTCTTAACATGGCTTCATGTAATCGCCTCTCGTCATCAACAGTGACACTGCTCCTCCCACCCGCATTCTACAGGTAAAGAGAGGTGAGGAACTCATGCCGGAGCACAGAGGAGGAGGGAGCCGAGGTCCAATCCCAACGCTCCTGCTCCAAACGCCAATGCTGTACTTTCAATATCGGCGCGCCGATTGCAGGGCTGGCCCGTGAGGATAATGGAACACCTTCGGTCTCACCTCCAGCGTCCTCAGCGCCGCCGAGCAGCCCAGGTTTGCCTGCCGCACCGCGAAAGCCCACCCTCCCTCGGCTTCCTCCCTTCCCAAGAAGCTTCTCCCGTATCAGTTTCTCCCAGGCATGCGCCCTTAATAAAAGAGCTCCACCTGAACTTGTCTTTGGGCTTTGATTTTGGGGCGCTTCGCCTAAGACATCCTCCCCACCCCCACCCCTGTATAAATACAGCCTTCAGAATTGTGCCCATATGGTGGGGTTTTCTCTCTGGTGACTGGCAAGGTACACATAGCAGGGTCCCAGGCGGCGGGCGGAGGCAGAAATTAAGTGCCAGACTCACCAGACCCTGCGAAAGGGCCTCTTGGGATCCCCTGATCCTGCATCGCATCTCACGTCCAGTTTCCTGCCTGCTGCCCTTGGCAATATGGAACAGCTGGGTCAGTGCACACCGCAGGTGCCTCCCTGCGTCTCCAGCCAAACACAGCTGAGCCCCGCGCCCTGAACTGGACCCAGCCTGCCTCCAAGAAAACCGCAGCGAAGCGTCGCCCCTCCTTTAGCTCCGGGAACTGTTTTACATGATGTTGGTCTCCACAGTGGTTTCCAAGGAGACCACCTACGTACCTGGCACCTGCGAGGCAGGCGCTGAGGCCCGGGAGTGTTTCTGGGCCCTACAAAATACAGCTGACCTGCAGACAACAGTAACTGGCAACGGCCAGAGAAAAAGAAAATTGCAACCTCGAAACTGCAGAATGTTGAATTAAATGGGTAGAAAACATAAGGTCAGCTTCATTGTTTTAGAATTTACTAAAATGTGGTTGCAGTTGTAAACAATTTGCAAACCAGATTAGAATTTATATATATATATATATTCACAATGCACAAGAATCCTTAAAGATGGCACGGTGCTTGTTGATAAAGCACAAAAAAGTTACCTACAGACAAATAATTTCGAAGACAAAACATACAATCCTTCCTAAATGTTTACGGCCAAAGACCTAGTGCGCGGTGTGGAAATGCCGTCTGGAAGCACTCTCAGGAGAGCTTTCAGCCGGGCCGACGTCCCCCACCCAGGCCACGCTCCTCAGACCAGCCCGACGCCCCCCGCTCTGCAGCTCCTCCAGGACATCCAGGGCGCTGGCTGGAGCCCAGACTCCGACAGGGACAGACACAGCAGCCTTGGCCGAGCCTGCTATCCAGGCTCTGGTCTGCTGGGAGGCGCACATCAGCGCCCCTTGGGAGGGTGGGGCAGGCTGTATTTAGGGCCGAGGACACCTTAGGAGACGCGACAGAGCAAACCCTGAACTCTGGGCCCCGCACCCACCTGGCTCCAGGGTGAGACAGGTTAACGTGGCCACATCAGCCATGCAGCGAAGCAAGGAGTCTGGCTGGTCCTGCGTTAATTCTCTGGCGTGCCCCGGTGCACTGAGGGAGCCGCTGGGGTCAGAGGAGCATTGTGGGAAGTGGGAGGGGTCCCAGAGACTCATGGGATGGACCTGGGAACCAAGAATGCAGAGGAGACAAGGAGCAAGGGGCACCCCTAGGTCCCCAGCGTGTGCCCCAGCAGGAAGGGGCTCCCTGAGGGCAGAGTCACAGGGCACAGTTGGCTGGGGGCATCTGGATACTCCACATTCAAGGATTCAAGATCCAACTCCCAGAGATGGGCGGGGCCAGGAGCTGCACTGTAGGGCTGCCCCAGCTCCCAGTCCTACAGGGCCACCCTGACTGCAGCCAGTGGCCGCTCTGCCCCAGAGTCAGGAGCTGGCAGGTGCCGCTGCTGCAGGCGGGAGAAGCAGGTGGAAAGCCCTAGGGAGACGGCCGTGTTGCTGGGGTGCATGGTGACTTGCAAGTGACAAAGCCGGTTTGTCCTTGGGCCCACGCCCTGATCCCAGGAGGGCGTGGCTGGGAAGAGCTAGGGGAACTGCGCAAACATCACTGACAGTTAACCCTCACTCACTTCCTCCCTGCAGCCCCTTGCTCGCCACCCCCCAAGGCTGGGAGCCAGCCAAGTGGGAGTGGGAGGGTGGGAGTGGGAGGATGCTTGTATTCACCCCCCAGGTTTACACCCCACGAGGGTGGCTCTGCCCTGTGGAGCACAAGTCCCAGGTTGTGCCCCATGGTTCTGATTGCCCCACATGCCATGAACCATCCCGCCGCCCCAGGGACCACATAAGAGACCCGCACCAGCCCTGGGTGTGCACAGGCACTTCTCCCAGCCAAGCAGGTAGCAGGGCATGCAGGATGACCACCTCGCAGCAGGAGCCCTGAGAATTACTATTTTTTAAAATTTTGTTGCATTTTTGGAGGATTGCTCTTTTTAGGTTTTTTGGTAAAATCAATTAATTAAATTTGAAGGCAGAGCAACAGAGAGGAAGAGAGAGAGAGATCTTCCATCTGCTGGCTCACTCCCCAAATGGCCACAACAGCCAGGGCTTGGCCGGGCTGAACCCAGGAGCCTGAAATTCCATCCAGGTCACCCCAGTGGGCGGCAGGGACCCAAGTCCTTGAGCCATCATCTTCTGCCTTTCCCAGCGCACCAAGCAGGAAGTGGGACTGGAAGCAGCAGGTTTCTCTCCGATATGCGATGCCAGGGCCATAAGCGCCAGCCCAACTCGCTGGGCCACAACGCCAGCCCTGTGTTTTGGAGTTTTGTTTGTTTTTAGCTTTTGAGTTTTGGTGGGAGAGAGATAGTGAGGGTCTTGGGATCTGAAAAGTGAGAAAAGTGTGGTCCACGGCAGAAAACCCTGCTTTGGCTGCAGGAGAAGATGCCCCTGGCCGGAGCAGTCTCCCCTGGGCTATGTACGAAGGGTTCTGGAACAATCCCAGGAGCTGTTATCGTCCCATCAGGAGGGAAGTCACCGTGCAGCCAGCTGAGTGCTTTTCCTGGAACTCGTTTTTTCCTGGAGGACAACAGAGCCAGCTGACAGGACAGACCTTGGGAGGGGCAAGAGATCCCTAGCATGGCGAGTCACGAGTCACGGGGCAAAAGTGCGACTCAGTGTCTGAGTATGTGTCCTTATCGCAGAAGGTCCTCGGGCCTGTGGTGCGCGCCCTCGGCGTGCAGTCCTCCGGGAAGGCTTGCAGGATGAAGCGGCTCCTGCCGCACGCCGAGCCCCGGCTTTGACCTTTCCTGTGCACTGCACTGCTCCTGAGCCCTCTGGAGCCCTGAACCAGATGCAGGCTCACTTAACCGCCCCCTGCTCCCCCTTGCTTCCCTCTTGCCCCCCGGGGCTTGTTCTTCCAGTCCTCGTGGGTCCAGGCCGCCCAGATGCTCCGAGGGCTGACCCTGGGCACTCACTCCCTGCTCTCAAGGCCTGCGGGACCCCGGCTGGGCTGGTGACCTGGTGGGTCTCACGCTGGGGGCGCTGTGAAGGCCCTCAGGCCATGGTCCAGGCTGGGTTTCCCCAGCAGCCTGGCCAGCAGTAGGATGGCTTCTGGCTCATTTCTGAGCTCCGTTGCTGTCCAGTCCCCACTGGCTTCTGACCTCACACGAGGCTGGTCCGGGGCCAGGAGCACTGAGAGGTGGACACACATGGCTTCTCACACATCTTAATGATGTGCTTCAAGGCCCCAGGCTAAGCCCAGCCTCAGCAAGCAGATAAGAACCAACTGGCTTCCTACATTAAGGAAGGGCAAGCCAAGGAAGGAATTCTCTAGAAGCTGAAAAGGCCGGAAAATTTTCCTCCAGGAAGGCCTGTGGGAAGGAACGTGGGCCTCCCAACACCTTCAAAGGGTAGCACATGGGCAGCAAACCCTGCCTGCCATCATGTAAGGACTTCAGATTTTCCCTGCGAGTCACAGGGAGTGGGGGAGTGGGCCAGAGACATCCCTCTGCGAGTGGCAAGCAGGAGGGTCTGGCAGGTGGGAGGCGGAACTGAAGGCAGGGAGGCCAATGAAGGTGCTACTCAAGGACTCAGGTCAGGGGGCCGGCGTTGTGGCCAGCATCCCATAGGGGTGCCCGGTTTGAGTCCTGGCCGCTCCACTTCTGATCCAGCTCACTGCTAATGCACCTGGGAAAGTATTGGGACATTGAAGCTGGAAGATGGCCAGAGTACCTGGGTCCCTTCCACCCACGTGGGACACTGGATGGAGTTCCAGGCTCCTGGCTTCAGCCGGGCCCAGCCCTGGCCTTTGTGGCTCTTGGTCCGGGTCAGAGGCAGCAACCCATCAGATGCTGGTGCGCAGGGAGGAGGGTCTCACTGGCTCCAGCCGTCCAGCTTAGGCTAGCAGAAGAGTAAAGAGCTGCAGCATGGCGCAGGAGAAGCAGAGGGTTGGCCTTGGACCTGTTCATCCTCAGGGGAGGTTTCCAGTGAGCAGCCCCGACAAGTACATCCGGGGAGGTTGATGGAGACGGAGAACACTGTAGACGCAGCTGAGGCTGGCCGTGGACAGAGAGAGCATGAGGAACTCTGCAGCTCACGGGCAGGTCAGCCAAGAGGGGTCGAAGAAACACACAGCAGAAGAGCAGAGAGGAGTGGGAAGGGAGGACTCGTGGGGAGAGTAGGGTCCCACATGTAACTCTGTCCATGGAGCGTGGGAGTGCATCCTTCCCCATGGCTCCTGGGGCCCTGCACCGGGCCTCACATCCTGTGCTCTCAAGGGACCTTCCTAGCTTCTGCAGCTGTCTCACACCCCTCCTGCAGCTCTGGGCCCCTGGGTTGTCTGTCTCCTGTCACTTATTCCAGGCGCTGCAAGCGTAAATGCTGTGCCCCGTCCACCCTTCTGGCCTCACTCTCTCAAATCCTCTTGCTCTAAAACCAATCCCAAGGTCATGGTGGACCCCCAGGGGGGAGGGATGGGTCTGCACAGCCCACCGAGAAGAGATCTGGAAGGGCCCCCCTCTGCCCTTTTGCTCTCTCTCTCTGGCCCAGCTCACCGGTCAGTGCCGAGCAGAGGCAGAATAGACGGGAGAGTGAGAAGGCCTGGGCCCAACCCACCACTTCCGGTCACAGAAGCTTGGCCAAGTCTCCTAATCTCTCTGAGCTGTTTCCTTGCTGTCATCACACAGTTCTGCCTACCTCATAGCACCGTTGTGATGATTCCTGGGTGGTGAGCACAGGGCCGGGCACAGAAACGGTGCAGGTGAGTGTTGGCCCTTGATAATGCTAGTCACGTGCAGAGTGGGGCCCGGGGCCCTGCGCGTGACCTCGCTCCACGGCGTCTCCTGGACCAGTGGCAGCTGTTTGCTTTTTATCTGGGCACCTAGAGTCCTTGTCCCGTCTCAAATTTGTCTGCTTTCAAGTGCTTGCTTTCTCTATGTCTAGAGAGTTACAGCAGTGCACTGCGGTCACTCCCAAAAAAAGGAAAAAAAATAAAGACTTCAGTTTCATGGAGCTGCAGCCTCACAGCCTGGCCCAGCCGGCAGCCAGGGGCAGCTGGAGACACATGAGGAGGACTCGCTGGAGAGGGGGAAATTGGAGCTGCAGGCAAGGTCAAGGTGCTGATGGGCTTTGCAGCCCAGGGGAGAGCCGGGCTGCCTTCCGCTGTGAGGCCACCCCAGCAGTCTGACCTGGGCAGGACAGGAGAGATGCATGGGGGTGATGCCATCTGCTGAGAGCCACAAGGGGAGACCCGGGGGAGCTCCCAGAGCCTGGAGGGGTTTGGAGGCACTGCCAAGAGGAGCAGAACAGGAAGAAGGGGCAACCTTGAGGTGAAGCCTGCTCCGATGACCTGCTGAGTGCTGGCCACCTGCTGCCACCAGGGTCCTTGGGCCCTAACATGGTTGCATTTGTGTTAACTTTGTATTCATTCGAAAGGCAGAGAAACAGAGATCTCCCACTCACTGGTTTACTCCGCTAACGCCTGTATGGGCCAGGCTCAGAGCCAGGAGCCGGGAACACCAGCTCCAGGTGTCTCCCAGGTGTCCTTGCGTCGTCACCTGCTGCCTCCTCGGGTGCACATCAGCAGGAATCTGGAATTGGGAGCAGAGACAGGTCTTGAACCCAGGCACTCTGAAATGGGATGCAGGAGTCCCAAGCAACATCGTGACTTCTCCAAGAAACGCATGCCCCTGAGCAGGTAAAACTTTAAAACAGAGGAATAGGGACCAGCATTGCGCCACAGCAGGTTAAGCTGCTACTTGCAGATACAGGCATCCCATATGAGTGCAAGTTTGAGTCCTGCCTGCTCTACTTCTTATTCAGCTCCCTGTTAATGCACCTGGGAAAACAGCAAAAGACGGCCCAAGTGCTTATGCCCCTGCCACCTATGTGGGAGACCCAGATGGAGTTACAGGCTCCTGGCTTTAGCCTGGCCCTGCCCTGGCTATTGTGATCATTTGGGGAGTGAACCAGCAGATGAAGATCTCCATCTCTCTCTCTCCCTCTTTCTTGGTGACTCTGTCAAGTAAGTAAATAAATCTTAAAAAAAAAAAAAAAAAACAGAATAGCATTATACAAAAATGGTATTACAGCTTTATTGTCTGAAGGATGATACGAATGCATGTATCAGAGGCGTTTTAAAGCTAGTCCCACATAAAATCCAGGCTTTCTCGCTCCATGTACATGCACCACGTCTTACACTAGCGGATGACCAACCTGTGGACACGACAGCGTTTCTAGCCCACAGACAGAAGCCCTCTTGCAGGCACCGGTTCCATCTCCCTGATCGCTATGACCGGCCAGAATACTCTGCGCATCCTTCCAGGGTGACACGTTCTGATTTCTGTTTCAAAGCCCAGGCCTCATGACACCTCCCTGGCATTTTAGTCCACATGGATAAGGAAGCTGGGCTGGACAAGGGAATTCCATCGCTGAGAATGCAATCAGTAGGACACGCAGCAGGCTTGCCCTGAGCAGCCACGGGAGCCTTTGCTGACCGCAGTTCTGCCCCTCATCAAATTCTCCCCTTGCCTCTCCCACGACCGTCATAGCACGGGGCCGGTGTCTTGTAGGCAGAGGGCCATCAAGGTCCTAGCTCTCTAACATGGATGGGGATTCTCTGTGCTTCTGGAGCCATCACTTCTGTACCCACTGACCCCAGAGTCCCGTTACAGCTGTAGAGGAGACGGGGACTGCTAATGGCCTGCAGCACCCGCTCCTCTTCCTGAGACCCCCCAAGGCACCAACAATGCGGCACACCTTGATTACAACCACACCTCGTCGATGACGTTTCTGTAACCATCGACAGAAAGCAGAATCAGGTGTGCAGCGGTGAGCAGCTGGTTCTCAATGGAGAAGCACAGGGGGCACCCCGGACTCCTCTGGCAGGGTAAGTCCTACAGCCCAGCCCTTTTTCTGAATGGCAGTCATGCCAGGTGTGACAATGACCACAGAACTCTGACTCGGAAACTCCACTTTCAGCCCCAAGGAGCTAGGACAGAGGTGAGAGGAGAAGCGTAGCGCAGCTGCTCTCCAAACTGGGAGGACGCACAGAACAAGCCTACCCGCTGAAGAGACCAGAGCAAAGCAGAATACACAGGCACACCCTGGGCTTCTGGCAGCGGACACACTTCAGCATGCGCTCAACGTCCATGCAAGATTTTCCATATGAAATTACAGCGGAAAGAAAAGGGAGAGCCCAGCAGGTTCACAGGATGACTTGCAGTTAGGTGCAAGGGCACACAGGTGCACACAGTTCGTATCAAGAATGAACTAAGAATGAAGTAAATGATGGGTATTCCGAGCTCCCGGGATTGTTTTAGAGTTAAGCCCAAATCAAAATTAATGATAAAACAACAGGGACACGGCAAGCTCTCCAGGGCGCTGAGCCAGCAGGCGAAGGCTGTGGGTCTGCAGGCACAGGCAGGTTCACGCTGGGATTTCCCACTGGGCACAGCTGTTGCTAGGAGCCGGGTAATTCCCCGGGAAGGTTGCTCAGGACAGCAGTGCCGGCCTCCACCCACTAGATGCCGCTAGTGCTTCCCAGTCCTGGCCGTCAAAGCCGTGTTCTCGCATTGCCAAGTGCCTGAGGCCTGCAGGGTGTGGGTGAAGGTGCCCAGGCCCTGGCTGAGAACCACTGCTGTGGAGTAAAGGCAGCCCCCAGCTTAGCTGTGGGCTCGGGCAGGAAGTCAGGAGGCCTGGGGGCGCCAGGGAGTGCTCCCTGGGGCAGTTCCCATTACGTGGGAATTAAGAATCAATGCACATCCTGCATTGATTTTTAATGAGCAGCTGATTCAAAGGTAAAACACGCTGCGGGCAGAGCCTCCCACCTGGCATCCTCAGACTTTCTACCCAGGGCCAGGCGCGACTGTTTCAGGCGCTGGGGAGTCTGGGGAGGCAAGGCAGCCGTGGCTGATGTGTAAGTGGTGGGCACGGAAGTGTTCCGATGAAGCTGCATTTGTGGACGCTGAAAAGTGACCCTCAGCTGCTTCTCACTGCCACCAAATACTACTCTTCATCTGCTTTCCTTCCCCTCCACTTACCAAGGTCAACACTATTTTTTAACGCATGGCCCCACAAAAAACCGGAGTGGGGTTCAGGCCAAGGGCCCAAGTTTGCAGACCCATGGCACAGCAGCTGCGACCAGGGGCATGCTGGGAAGCCCGGCACAGACCTGCCCACACCCAGGGAGGAGCGATCCCCCCAGAGGCCTGTCCTCTCCCATCTCCCATCTCTTGCCTCTCCCAACCACCCCTTCCTTGGTGCTTGCAAACTGCCGCTTCCGAAGACACCAGAAAGAAATGACAGTCTTTAAACACGTGGATGGCTTCTCGGCCATTCTTCTAGAATTTTCTACTACTGTAAAGGAAGGCCACCAACAGGGCACTGACCTTGCAGTCTGCGCAGTCCCCAGAGCCCCAGAAAACCTTCCAGGGGATGTTATCAGTTTCCACTGAACACGCTAAATCACAGTCATCCTGCTTGCGTCCACACTCGCGCTTTGACAGCAAACAGCAAGCACAGCCGGGCTCTGCATGGGACCAGCTGGTGACCGATCCGGGAGAGGAAGGCACCAGCGGCTTCCGAGCATGGAGGCCCCAGGTCCTGTGAGTGCTCAGGACAGCTGGGCGTGGGGCCCGGGGACCTGGGGCTCCCGCTCCGGGCAGGAAATGCTGGCTTCCCTGAGACCCCCGCAGGGGCCAGCTGAATGCAGGGGTAGGGTCCCATGCCCCGAGGGAGCCAAAGCGAACAGGGAAAGTGACCAAAGAGGCTGACGGGGCCAGGGAGGGAAACGGAAAGGAAACAGACCAGAAAAAGGAAGTGGAGAAGCAGGAGATAGGCAGGGGTGGCCAGGAGAGCGAGCAGAGGGGTAAAGAAGGAATCCGCGAGAGGGCTGGGGTGGCCGTGGGAACTGCCCCAGAGATGTCCCCAGCTGCCGCGACGGGAGAGGGGCCGAGCCATCTGGGGCCCCGCCCTCTCCCTGAAAGGCGTCACCCAGACAGGCCTGACGCGAGGACTTCGGAAGCGGCCCCAGCTGGGCTCCTCTCGCAGAGGAAGCCCACAGCACAGGCTCCCGGACTGTCCGGGGACACGGTCCCCCTGGAGCTCGGCAAAGATGGCGCCCGGGGCCCAGCTCCAGAGGAGAGTCCGGAGTGTCCACCGCAGGGCTCAGAGCTGGGCCCCTTTCAAACCAAGAGAAGATGGCATCGCGCTTCCTCCAGAGAGTTCTCTGGCCTGTCACCAACCCGACATCTTGCAGCACCCACTCCCAGCCGTGCCCGCCAGGCTCAGGGCCGGGGGAGGCCGCCGGGCAGGGCAGGGCAGGGCAGGGCAGGGCGGGGAGGGCCAGGGACGGGCTTCCTGCCTGCGGCCCGTCCCCCGTCCGGGCCAGGGGCACCCACGCTGGGCCTTAGAGGCCTCCCGCCACGCGGCATTTATGCTTGTCTCTCGGTGTGGTCCGGAAGGACTTCAGACACGAGAAATTCCCTGGTTGTCACTGAATTTTTCAAATACAGAGTCGGCGCGTCGTCCTCCCCGAGACCCGGGCCGGAGGGCAGGGGCTGCCCTGGGGCCTCGGAGCAGCCCCCTCCCCGCGTTGTGGGAAGCAGGTGCTGGGTCAGCCCAGCAGGAAGAGGCTCAGTCAGAGGCAGGGCCCCCTCGACACCCCTCCCTGGGGGGCAGTCACGCCTGGAGGGGGGGGTCACATATTCGTTCTTTTCCCCTCCCCAAATGCTTTCCCAACCCTTTCCGGCTTCCCCTGTGGAAACATCTTCCAGAAAATTCTCAAAGTTCACCACCAATTTGTCGATCAGGTCGCTGGGGGCAGAACATGATTTTAGGATCCTGTCTTCTGTGTTCCCAGCGTCATCCAACTCCTTCAGATTTCGCTCACCCTGGAAGAGAAGAGAAGATGTCCCACATGGTCATTTCGGGGCTACCCCTGCTGTCAGCCTTAGCTCCTTGGGCTTGGGGCACCAAGCGCCGCACTCCTGAGCCGCCCCTCGTTCCTCCCAGGCCCGGAGCGGGCAGCCTGTTTCCCGAGGTAAGCACTCCACATTGCAAGACCTTCCTCTTCCAGAGGTACAATGCTACCCCCAATCACGTGTTCACAAAACCCCACTTGTGCTGGAAGCACCAAAATCAGAGAGTAAATCGGTCACAAAGACAGCGTGTCCAGCATCGCCAGGAAATCAAAGGTGGCCTCATGCAGCGGCGGCGTCTCTGTCATCTATAGACCCCCAGGGCCTGGATGAGAGGCTGGCATACGGTGGGCGATTAATAAGCGCTCGCTATGGAGGGCCGACCTACAGCCTATTCAAAAAGCATTGTAGTCATCAGACAACGCTGCCTCTGATTCCGTTTACTCTTTGAAGTCACACGTGATGAGGAGAGTAAGTAGGTAATCCCACACTGACAGGGAAGAGGAAGTCGAGAGCAGGTGCTCCGAACAGAATGTCCATGTTCACGAAGACCTCTGGGGGTCAGTGTGGGGCAGCAGGCCGGGCAGACATTCAGATGCCCACATTCTCCATCTGAACGCCTGGGCTTGGAGTCCCAGCTAAGTCCCGGCTACTCCGCACCTCTGATCCAGCTTCCTGCTGATTCACCCGGAAGGAAGCAGGGGATGATGGTCCAACTGCTTGGGTTCCTGCCACCCATATGGGAGACTGATGGAGCTCCTGGTTCTGGGCTTTGGTCTGGCCCAAGCCTGGCCGTCGCAACCTTTGGGGAGTGAACTGGCAGATGGAAGATCTCTCTCTATTTCTCTCTCTGTAACTCTGCCTTTCAAATAAATAAATAAATCTTTTTTTAAAGACCTTTCTCTCCCTCTCTCTTATGATACAGCCTTTCGATAATAAGAATTCAAGTTTATATTTAGCTTATCTCTATTTTAACAATAAATTAATTCTTAAAAATTTCATCACAGTTTTCAATTTCAAAACTTAATGAAAAAGGAGGGTTTCTGCTACGGATAATTCACTAGAAAACCCCAATACTTGTTAAATAAAGCTTGGCTCTTCCACCTGCTATTTTGCTCCCCATATGCCCACGACTGCCAAGGCTGGGCTGGGGCTGGAGCCAGGGACCCAATCCAGTTGTCCCATGTAGGTGGCAGGGACCCAACCACTTGAGCTTTCACCACTGCCTCCCAGGGTCTGAAAAAAACAGGAAGCTGGAATTGGGAGCTGGAGCCGGTAACTGACCGCCCCCATGCTTCATTGTGGGACACTGTGTCCTAACAGCATCTTAACCACTAGGCTAACACCCTTGCTGATGCTTAACTGACCTCAGTTCTTCTAGCCAGGCCTTCTCTCTTGCTAACTACACAGTCAAGTCAGTAAGGGTGAGGTCAGTATCCTCTTTTCTCCTTTAGGACCAGTTCCATGCTGGCAACATAATGGGGCCTCATGAGCCTGGTGAAGCTCTTTCCTCTGGTCCAAAGCACAAGGCCAAAGTCATTCCAGGAAGGATGATTCCATTTGCCCAGCTAGCTGCTCCCCCAGGACTTTTAAATCTTGAGTTCTCTTTCTGTGAGGCCTGAGCAAAGCTCAGCCCAGAACACTTCTCCTTCTCCAGCCACCCTTGTCGGCTCCCACCCAGCTCAGTGGTTTGCATGACAACAACTGGAGTGTTTACCTTGAAATTATGTCCACGCCACGTAGCTAAACTACTTTCAGCAGGGTTGGGAACATCGGGCCAACACAAGTGAGTCAGTTTGCTAATAAGAGATAATACAAAGTGAGTCCAAGAAGCATTTTTAGACACTGCATGGCGGAGCCTGAACAGTGGGGCTTTGCTGAAGGGAATTGTGTAGCTCCCTATCAGATGAGGGCAAGCTCCCACCAAGCCCTCTGCAGATGTAAGGGGAGGAGATCTCACCCCAGGCAAAGCCAGCCCCATCCTTTCTCTCCTGCCCCTGTGTCTCCAACCTGGTCCTGCTGTTGGAAATGGTGCCACCACGTATTGCCCAGGAGGGTCACATCCTAAGCTTACAAGCTAAGTTACTGCTCTGTGATTTCCAAAGGGGTGGCTGTCACGAGCAACTACAGCATGACCTGGAGGTCACTCATGGCCTTCACCCCAGAACCAAGGAATCAGAAGCCCTGGGGAGGGGCCTGGTCCTAATGCATGCTAAAGAGGAAGAGTCAAGTGCCTAATGGACACGAATTTGTGCTGATGACCTGGTGACAACCAACACTTGGTCACTGAGGATGACATTAGCGTGACCATTACCTAAGTGCAGCTGCCCAGTGGGGAAGGGGCCCATTTGGACAGAGAGTTCTGCTAGGGAAGGACCGTGAGGGCAGCATGAAACACAAGACCCCAAAGACAAGCTTCTTTCCCCACGCTGGCCAGGGCAGGTAGGACAAAGGCCCCTGCAGCTGGCCATCCAACACCACCCCACAAGCAAGGAGCCAAGGCGTGTGACATGGTTCAGTCCCTGCTCTGCCTCTTGCTGATGACAGGGACCCCTCAAGACTTTGCAAGAAAGGGACCTTTTCTCTAACTCGAGTCCTGGATAGCAAGTGCAGCAGGTTCATCTGTGGGCAGCTGGACACCCCGGCCTCTACAAGGCCTAGACCTGGACCGTGGAGCTAAGTGAGGGTGAAAGACCTCTTGCATGGTCAGAATCTAATGAACCGGAGTGTGGCTTCCATCATCTCAGCAAAGGCGTATGGAGTTCACAAATGAATGAGCACCCCCTTCGGAGGGGAGAGCCCCCCTCCTACCATGTGCCTGGGATGCCTTCCACCCCGTCACACTTCTCCAGGCACCTGCTGTTCCTGCAGAAACTCACTTGGGCTTCTTGAGACCGTAGGCCACAGTCAGGATGAAGAGAAGGAGGAGGCTTCCTCCAACCAGAGACGTTATAAGGACAATCTCAAGGACATCTTTGGGAAAAGGAGAAGAAGCCAGTGGTAAGTTGATTTCCTTGCTTTCTTGACAAATATCAGAGATTCACTTTTTCTTCTAGCAGCTTCAGCCACACATTTCTAACTTTTCTTCCCATTCAATTCAATTCTTTTCCATTAAAAACAAAACCCTGAGGTGAGTGGTCCCCCATCTCCCTCATGCCATGGATAGATGTTGTGCTCCCAGGGCCATCTTCCAACTTCATTCATCCAGTGAATAACTGGAGCACTACCCTGCGTGAAAAACCCAACAGCCATCAGCAAGGACTGTAAGATCCCCACTCTTGGGGAGTTTGTATTCTGGGAGGAGGTTCAGGCAATACATAAGATTATTTCAGATTGAAATGGGTAAGGAGGTGCAGAGTCCCTAGGGCGAGGCGGGAGGGAGGGCAGCAGCCTTAGATTGGGCAGCCAGGGAGAAGTGAAATTTGAGCTGAGAAAGGGAGCCAGCCAGGCTGAACTAGGGAGAGGGCAAGGCTCTGAGGCAGGAGCAAGTTAAGGAACACAAACCGAGGCAGAAAGTAGCAAAAAATGGGGTTGGTTCAGACGAAGAAGGACCCTGAAAGCTGCAGGAAAGAGTTTGGGTTTTATTTATTTATTTATTTAGTTATTTATTTATTTATTGACAGGCGGAGTGGACAGTGAGAGAGAGACAGAGAGAAAGGTCTTCCTTTGCCGTTGATTCACCCTCCAATGGCCGCCGCGGCCCGCGCATTGCGGCCGGCGCACCGCACTGATCCGAAGGCAGGAGCCAGGTACTTATCCTGATCTCCCATGGGGTGCAGGGCCCAAGGACCTGGGCCATCCTCCACTGCACTCCCTGGCCACAGCAGAGAGCTGGCCTGGAAGAGGGGCAACCGGGACAGAATCCAGCACCCCGACTGGAACTAGAACCCGGTGTGCCGGCACCACAAGGTGGAGGATTAGCCTAGTGAGCCGCGGCGCCGGCCTGGTTTTATTTAAAATAGGATGAAGTCCGGGCTGGCGCTGTGGCATAGTAGGTTAAGCCTCCACACAAACACTGGCATTACATATAGGTGCCGGTTCGAGTCCTGGCTGCTCTACTTCTGATCCTGGACCCTGCTATGGCCTGGAAAAGCAGCAGAAGATGGCCTAAGTGCTTGGGCCCCTGCATGCATGTGGGAGACCCAGAGGAAGCTCCTGGCTTTGGATCGGCCCAGCTCTGGCCATTGCAGACGTTTAGGGAGTGAACCAGCAGATGGAAGACCTCTCTCTCTCTCTCTCTCCCTCTCTCTGTCTGTAACTCCTTCCAAATAAATAAATAAATCTTTAAAAAAAAAAAGAATAGAACAAAGTGGTCGGTGGGTTTCAAGCACAGGATCCAGGGCTTAAAAATGTGGCTGCCACAAATCAATGCATTACAGAGGATCCGAGACAGCAGCAGGGGGATCTGCAATCTGCAGACCAGGCCTGGAGACTGCCAGGCTCCAAGGCAGGGTCTTGCTTCAGATATGACTCTTGGAGAAAGTTCCATCCATTGATGCAATTTGTACACTTAAACAGCGACATCAAATAGTTCTAGAACAGCAACGTTAGTTCAAAAAACGGAACATGTTTTCCAAAGATAGTAATACTCTAGTCATGTTTTCCGGAACCACACTGCTATTTTCTTTAAAAATGTTGTAAGAGCTTTCAAGAATACCCCAAGCAGACAACTTTTAGTTTGTACCAGTTATTGCAAAACCTGGCAGTGTTCCAAACTGTTTATCTAAAAGGTTGTTCTGTCTTTAAAACAGTTTTAGTACATCCTTAAAAAATAGTCTCTCTGCCACTCAAGGACTTGGCAAAATCAAGCTATTTCTCCCACTCTCCTTCCTTCTTTTTCCTTCCTCTCTCTCCTCTTTTGCATCTTCTCCCCCTTCACTGGCCATGGATGACACTGTGTTACATTTTACCTTATTTGTTTACCTATTCAATCTTTCTTGCTCTCTATTTCTTAACATAAGTGCTGGTAAATCAAACATATATCTTTTTCCTCAAAAAACTCCTTGAACAAAGGGAAGTCCCTTCCTATGTGTCACTGGTCTTTTCAGCCAAGGTTTTCCTCCATGGTCCTATTGTACAGTAGCCTCTGACATACAGAAACTGGTGCCTGTGAACTTGGGGACAGCCTTGAAGTGGGAGCTGGCTTGATGTTGAGACTACAGTTGGTGTTAACTTGATCCCTCCTCTGTAAGCTGATTTGGCCCATCCATAAAGACCTTTTCTAAATTTAGCTGTCAGTTTTCCTGTCCTCCCTCCTCTCTTTCACCCATCTGCCTTCCGGAAAGTCTTCTCCCTTAGGTACCTGTCCTTGCATTTGGCTTCTGCCTGCTTTTGGCAGTGGTCATTTCTGATTGGCCTAAGGTAAATACCAGCAAGAGGTACTCAGGGCTTCAAGGAAAGACTCACTAATCGACAACGTCTTGAAGTTTATTGTGGTCCCATTGTGTCCCCCAGCACTGGTACTGGCCATAACCCGGACAGCATAGGAAGTCTTCCGTGTCAAGGACTCCAAGTCATACTGAAGAATGCTTGAGTTGACGGTCTTGGCTAAAGGAAAAACACAAAAGTCAAACATCACAGCCACATGGGCTGGAAGTTATGTTGAGTAGCACCAAAGTAAGAGCACGGGGCCCAGCACCTCCATGCGTGACCACCTCACACTCTAACCCTTATCTCTGACATGTACCGAGTGTACTGACCATGTCAGGGCTATGTTTCTCTCTCTGCATCATTACCTGACATTTGCAACTTGCAAATTCCTCTCTTCTATGTGCTTATAAAGTATATGACAGGTTATTATGAACTAGTCACCTCAATGTGCTAAGGAAATACCATACTATCCCCCAAAATATGTACAACTGTTATTGTCAGTCAAAAAGGCATAGCAGGTGAAGCCATCACCTGCAATGCTGGTTCGAGTTCTAGCTACTCCAGTTCCAACCCAGCTTCCTGCTAATGCACCAAGGACTTTGGCCCCTTCCACGCATGTCGGGGAGCCAGATGGAGTTTTTGGTTCTTGGCTTTAGCCTGGCTCAGACATGGCTGTTGTGGCCATGTGAGGAGCGAAGCAGCCTCTCAAATAATGTTTTAAATAAGTAATTTTTAAAACATTTATTTTATTTGAAAGAGTTAGAGAGAGAGAGAGAGAGAAATCTTCTATCTGCTAGTTCACTTTCCAATGGCCAGAGCTGGGCCAGGCCAAAGCCAGCAGCCAGGAGCTTCTTCTGGGTCTCTCGTGTGTGTAGGGGCCTACCTTCTGTTGCTTTCCCAGGTGCATTGGCAGAGAGTTGGGTCAGAAGTTAGAGCAGCCAGGACTTGAATTGGTGCCCACATGGAATGAATGCCAACACTGCAGGCAGCAGCTTAACTCTACACTACAGTGCCAGCTGCAAAATCAGTAAGTTTTGAAAGGCAAGGAAATTAAAGAGACATTTCTCCAAAAATAATATACAATTGGCTAAGTACATAAACAGATGCTCAATAGCACTATTATAAATTATACATTATATCTACATTAGGTAAATATAAAGAATGAGATATCACTTCACATCTACTAACTATAATTTTTATAAAAATGAAAAACAACAACTGCTGGCCTGAAAGTAGAGAAACTGGAGCCCTCTTGCACTGTAGCTGGTGGCATGGTCACTGGGAAACAGACGCTCCTCAGTGAGTTTCACTAGAGCAACTCTACGATCCAGCAGATCACTCTAGGGCAGATTTCCCAAAGAAAGGAAAGCACAGACTCAAACAGGCATCTGTATGCTGACGTTCACAGAAGCATAGTCATTACTGCCACCGGGTTGAAACAACCCAGAGGCTCATCAACTGAAGAATGGATAAAGAAAGCATGGCTTCTCCATGCTGTGGAACATTATTCAGCCATGACAAGGAGAAGTGCTAATTGATGCCACTGTGTGGTGAACTGTGAAAGCATCCTCCTAAGTGCAGGTCGCCAGACACAAAAGCCACGTGTCGTATGGTTATACTTATGTGAAGTATTGAGGAGAGGGAATCCAGACAGGGGCAAAAAGCACCTTGGTAGTGGCCCAGGGCTGTAGGATGAGGGGAATTATGGGTAGAGGGCTTCTATTTCTGTGGAAATAGAGAAGTTCTGGCAATAGAGTGGCAGTGGATGCCCAACCCTTTGACTGTACTGCCACTCAAATGTACATTTTTAAATGTTTCCAGTGATAAAGTTTATGTGTGTCTGACCATAAAAAAAAAAAATTAGCCTAAATGGGAATGTAAACACAGCCCAGAATTTAGGACGTCAGAAGGCGCCATGGGCTGAAGCTAAAAGGCTGGCTTGGAGTCAGTCAGGGGCCCCGTGCTAGGGTGGGTGCTGCTGGTGCGGCTGTGTGCCCCTGCACTCTTCAAGCCAGGCCCCCCGGGAATAAGCTTCAGGGGCTCACAGGTAGGCCACCTGTCTAGAGCCGGACCAGGACTAACGGCACCAACTCCTCCCACTGCCACAGTCCCTCACATACTGTCACCTGACTCTCATCTACCCCCCACCAAAAAATAAGAGGTGAGTGCTCCTGGCGCCACTTTCAGAGGCATTCACAGACGCCGAGTGCAAGTGCAAGGCCGCAGGTCCCTAGCCCCTGTGACAGGGCTACACCCAGCTTCTCCCCGGGGCGGCAGGTTTTTAAAAACGTGATTACAGACACACTCACAGAATTCTCTTCCATCTTCAGCTTGGTAAAATATGGTGTAGTTGTTGATGAAACCATTTCTCTCCCTCATGGGAATTTCTTTCCATGTGATTCTGGCTGTCTTCAGACCAATGTTCTCCACCTTGGTCACGGGTCCTTTCGATGGAACTTGAGATTACAGAGAGACAAGTGATCAGCACTGAACCTCGCCACAGCGGGTCTTCCCCGCAAGGGCTCTGCTAGGACTCGAGCAAAACCGTGGTGCTGGAGGTGAGGGCCGAGCAGGGCACGGGTGAATACGCTTCTTTGGGATGATTATTTTCCGCTGTCACCCATGCTAAACAGAGGAAGAGAGGTGCTGTCCGACCGGAGGAAGAGTGTTTTTTACAGACCTCTTGCTCTGTGTGGCACCCAGCTCTTCCACAGCCATAAGCTGCCTTTGCACAACAGGAGCTGATCCCCAGTGTTGAATCTAAGACACGTTAGCTTCCAAAGAGGCAGAGAGGGCGGACGAGCAAGGCACCGCTTATTGCCACACAATTAAACTTAATGTTTTAATATGTCCTGTTTAGGATGAACTCTGTAACTCCTTTGGTTGATATTTTAAAAATTTGTTTGTTTATTTATGTTTATATTTATGTTTAATTTTATTTTCATTGAAAGTCAGAGAGAAACATAAAGAGAGATAGAGAGGGGCTGGCGCTGTGGCATATCGGGTAAAGCCACCGCCTGCAGTGCCAGCATCCCATATGGGTGCTGGTTTGAGTCCCGGCTGCCTCACTTCTGATCCTTCTCTCTGCTAATGGCCTGGGAAAGCAGTGGGAGCTGGCCCAAGTGTTTGGGCCCCTATACCTGTGTGAGAAAGCCAGGTATAGCTGTTGCCACCATTTGGGGAGTGAATCAGCAGATGCAAGACCTCTCTCTGTGTCTCTCTCTCTCTCTCTTTGCCTCTCTGTAACTCTGCCTTTCAAATAAATAAACTATTATTTATTTATACATATTATTTATTTATTAATTATAAATATTATTTATTTATTTATTTATTTGAAAGGCAGAGTTACAGAGAGAGGTAGAGACAGAGAGAGAGGTCTTCCATCCGCTGGTTCACTCCCCAATTGACTGCAATGGCTGGAGCTGAGCTGATCCGAAGCCAGGAACCAGGAGCTTCCTCCAGGTCTTCCCATGCAGGTGCAGGGGCCAAAGGACTTGGGCCATCTTCCACTGCTATCCCAGGGCATAGCAGAGAGCTGATCAGAAGAGGAACAGCTGGGCCTTGAACCGGTGCCCATATGGGATGCCAGTGCTTCAGGCCAGGGCTTTAATCTGCTATGCCACAGCGCCAGCCCCAAATAAATACATCTTGAGAGAGAGAGAGCAAGCGCGCGCACTTCCATGTCCTGGTTTAAGCACCCAAATATCCACAACCGCCACGGCTGGGCCAGGCCACAGCTAGGAATGTGGAACTCAATCCAGGTGTCCCATGTGGGTGGCAGGGAGCTAACTACCTGAGCCACCACTTACTGTCTCCTAGGGTCCCCATTAAGAGGATGCTGGACTGGATGTGGAGCCGGGCCTGCAGCCCACACCCTCTGGTATGGGATGCAAGAGTTCTAAGTGGCAACTCAGCCACTGCACCAAAAGTCCATCCCCCTGAGTTGATCTTTGTTAAATGATCCCCAAGTCTACCCACCCAGCCACCCTTGCTTTGAAATTCAGTGCATCTACAACCTGACCATAACTGAGTCAAATTCATATCGATTCCTACAAGATGAAGGTGCAGCACAAACGTGTCCATGGCAACCATGAATGAGTGACAGGCATTCACAGCCCTAGCTGAATGTTGTGTGGGCCCTGGTCTTCCCCTCCTCCCAGCCTTGTCTGTACGTACTGCCTTCTTTGGCATAAGCCTGGATAGAATATGGCTCGCCCACTTCGTCTTGCAACACTGGATACACAGAGATGTTATAGCACCACAAAGGTTTTAACTTATCTGGAAAAAAAAAAAAGGAAGAAAACAGCATAAATGCAGAGCATGGCAGAGTAAAAAGAACGCTGCACTCAGAGCTGTGGCCTAAGATGCGTGGATGACGCTCCCCTTCTTTGCACTTTCCTCCTCCGGGAAACAAGCTTGGGCTGGGTGGTTTCTACATCAACTCTTGGCCTAAGATGTCCTGATTCATTCTTAGAATCAAATCCTGCACCACTCTGGCAAAATGACAGCGCCACCCAGGAAGAGAGAAGGAAGAGATCCAGTCCCTTCTGCTTCACGGATTTTATCGTATGATTTGGGGGCCCCGCAGAGAAAAACTCAGCCCTTCTGTCAACAGCTCTGGAGAACTCAGACCCCATGGGTCCTAGCCCCAGGGCCGGCCCACCTCCCTGCGCATGCTCAGTTCTTAATAAGAATGCTTGGCCAGTGCCGGCTCACTAGGCTAATCCTCCGCCTAGGGGCGCTGGCACCCCAGGTTCTAGTCCCGGTCGGGGCACCGGATTCTGTCCCGGTTGCCCCTCTTCCACGCCAGCTCTCTGCTGTGGCCAGGGAGTGCAGTGGAGGGTGGCCCAAGTGCCTGGGCCCTGCACCCCATGGGAGACCAGGAGAAGCACCTGGCTCCTGCCATCGGATCAGTGTGGTGTGCCGGCCGCAGCGCCGCTGGCCGTGGCGGCCATTGGAGGGTGAACCAACGGCAAAAGGAAGACCTTTCTCTCCTTTCTCTCTGTCTCTCTCTCTCACTGTCCACTCTGCCTGTCAAAAAACAAACAAAAAAAAACCAAAAAACAAACAAACAAACAAAAAAACACAAAATGCTGCTATTCAGCCTTGAGTGGGAAGGACAGGATGGAGGCCTTCTCCATGTGTCTCCCTTGGGCAGGGACTTTCATATAAAGGCTACTCCATGTATCAACAGCTGGGGAAAAGGCCTCGCTCTTAAATGGGCAACCAGACCCAAAGCGAGTGTCCTAGGTAGGACAGATGGGATCCAACCCTGGTGTTGTCCCAGGATGCTCAAGATATGCAGGAAGGGCTCTCTGAAGGTGGGTGCTGCACGGTGTTTCCCACCTGGTGACACCCAGACTCCTGGTCTGATACCCACAGCTTTGTGTGCCAGCTTTGCCCAGGACATGCCAAGAAGCGTGTCCCTTCGCTGTGCTTGTGGGAGCTCCTCAAGTGCTACCCACCACATTTTCAGCTGGCAGCCCTGGTGAGCAGGAAACCAAAGCCTGCGCAGAGGGCACTGGGGGGGTCCCACACTGGCTACCTTGCTGGATTGTCCACTTCTTGGCCCCAGACACAGATTCCCAGGACAAGGCAGAAAGTTCTGAGTCCAAATCTGGGACCCACTCAACCATCCAGGCGTCCACCTCCAGGTTGCAGCTCTGCCACTCCACCACCAGCAGGCCCTGAGCCAGCCTGGCCTGCATGCCCTCGATGCACTGAAATGCTGAAAGGAGAGAAAAATATTGCATCATGGCCGCCCAATTCACCCCCCGGAGCACCAAGCACACTGGCATCTGTTCATTGCCCAAACTGTAAAACAGGCAAACTTCAAGACCCCCCCTGTAGCCGCCCCTGCTGGTGCAGTTTGCAGCCTTGTATTGTAAATCCCTTTTCTACACCCGAGGCCTTTGATGGCTTTTGCACCTTCTTTGCTGCCCCAGAATTGACCCGTTTCCAGAAACAGAGCTCATAAGAGAGCTGATGACTAAGAAGACTGACCTTCCACAGGTGACGCTGCAGGTCCAAAGGAAAGCAAAGCTCAGACAATGAATCAAGACCCAACTTCACTCCAGCGTGCCCCTTCAGGAACCACCGCCCCCTTATCTCGGAGGGCACCTGTTAGGGATTTGAACCCTGCCCCCCAGGGACTACAGAATGGGCCTTATCTGGAAGCAGGCCTGCCGCAGATGGAGTGAGTTCAGGTGATGGGCCCTGAGCCGGACCCTGGGGTGTCCTTGTAAGTCAAGAGGGATTTGGAGACAGAAGCAGACACTCAGGGAGGTGCTGTGTGAAAGCCAAGGCGGAAATGGGTATTATTGGAGCTGCTTGGAGCCTGGGAATACCAGGAAGCTGGAAGAGGAGGGGGGGGGCCTCCCCTGGAGGCTGCGAAGGAAGCAAGGCTCAGCGGGCACCCGGATCTCAGACTCCCAACCTCCAGAATGCCGAGGCGCCACGCGTCTGCTGCTCCAAGACGCGCAGCTGGTGCTCTGCCCCCGCAGCCTGAGCAGGAGGAGACCGCGCCTTCCCCTCGCCTGGCCTCTTCCCTCTGGTTCCTTTCCTGCTCTCCCTGCAGGCACATTCTTCATAAATGACTTGCTCACAAACCCTGGCCTGGAGACAAGTCAGCGCTGGGACCCAACCCTACATTCTCCTCCCACCACGCCCGCCCGGAGCCCAGAGGAGCTGGAGGAGCAGGGCTTGAAGCACGGGCTGGGCCCCAGGGACTGAGGAGCCCTCGAGGGGCAAGAAAAAGGTTGCAGGAAGCCCCGAGCCACCCCTCCAAGGGGAACGGTGCTGCAGAGAAGCGCCCAAGCCAGCAGCTGTGGAGTGAGACTTACTGCCGGGTCCTTCGTCATTCACTGAGGACTCTGCGAGCAGTCACCTCCCATACAGCCCGTCCCCCACAATGGTGGCAAATGCTGACCCTTCCTGGAGAGGGGGCCGGGGGCGCTGACTGTGCACGCCATGAATTTCTTGCAATAGTAGGAGCCCAGTCACTTTGGGTCTATCAGAGAGAGTTCTCAAGGGTTGGTGCGCTTGCCTGTGGCCAGCTGTCCTGGCCCACGCTGGATTCTGTCCTGACTCTGTCCCGCCCTCCTCCTCAGGTCTTCTCTCAGCTCAGTGGCTGAGCGGACTCCCAGAACACAGACGTTCAGGGGTCCTGCAGGCTTGTCTGTTCCAATCCCTCACGCTGAGGATAGGAACCCAGAGGCCCTCGGGCGTGACTAAGCCCAGCTCAGCACCACACAGCATCTGTGGCTAGAATTCTAACTCATTTTAGTAACACCAAGGTTACTGGTGTTACTAAAGGTTCTGAATAAAGTATCGCACCAGTTTGGAATCCTGCAGACCTTGACTGAAATCCCACCAGGGAGACCCTGGACAAATGACCAAGCTTTCCTGAACTCCTCATCATCTGTAAGATGGATCAAACCATATCTATTACAGGTCATTCCAAAGTTTAAATGAGATAAGCTATGTTATGCTTAATACATATCAGTAGATAATATATGATAATTATACTTAATGATAGCTTTACATTAAATATTACTATTATAACTACTCTCCAGTGCCTTCTACTTTATTAAACAAAATCTGGTATGGTAAAATTCTGGCATGGTAAAATGGCAGTAAAAGCTAATGTACTTTGTGATGGGGTGGGTATTGTGGGGCAGCAGGGTAAGCCACCAGTTAGGATGCCCACATTGCCTTGAGAGTACCTGAGCTTGAATACCGACTCTGCTTCTGAGTCAGCTCCCTGCCAACGTGCACCCTAGGAGGCAGTGGATGATGGCTCAGTTACATGGGCCCCTGACACCAGCATGGAAGACGCAGATGGAGTACCTGGCTCCTGGCTTTGACCTGGCCCAGCCCTGGTTTTTGTGTGCTTTTGGAGAGTGAACCAGAGGAAAAAAGATTTCTCTCTGTCTCTCTCCAACTAATAAATAAAAAGGTATCTTTTTAGAAGATTTATTTATTTATTTGAAAGACAGAGCATCAGAGAAAGGGGTGGGGAGGGAGAGACAGAGGGAAGAGAGAGAGAGAAAGAGATCTCCATCTATTGGTTTATTCCCCCAAATAGTCACAACAATCAAGGCTGGGATGTACTGGGATGTAGATTCTAAAAGAGAAGAGAAAGGGGAGACATTTGGCCTGTTGGTTAAGATACCAGCTAAGATGCCTGCATCCCATGTCAGAGTACCTGGGTTAAATACCCAGCTGTGACTCCTGATTGCAGCTTGTTCCTAATGCAGACCTTGGGGGGCAGTAGTGATGGCTCAAGTAATTGAGTCCCTGCCACTCACGTGGGAAACCTGGATTGTGTTCCTAGATCCTGGCTTTGACCTGTCCCAGCCCTGGCCATTGAAAGCATTTGAGAAGAGAACCAGTGGATAGAAAATATCTTCTCTCTCTCTATTTCTCTCTCTCTCTCTCTGCCTCTCAAATAAATTTTTTAAGAGAAAAACAGAAATCCCAACTCTCACACAACATGCATCCTACTGAGGAAGAAAACTGTTACAAAATAAATGATAAAATATATTAAATGAAAGCTAGTACTAAATGAGATAGAGAAAAAAATAAAGCAGGAAAAGGAAATCTATTACTTGCAATTCCTTCAATAAGAATCAAAGAAGGAATTTTATTCCAAATCATGATATAAAGAATTTGCTTGGGAGCAATAAAATGTTAAAAACTACTTAATCAAAGTGTCATGAATGGGGCCAGCACTGTGGTGTACAGGGTAAAGTGTACTCTGCAGTGCCAGCATCCCAGTTTTGAGTCCAGCTGCTCCACTTCTGATCCAGCTGCCTGCTAACGCTCCTGGGAAAGCAGCAGAGGGCAGCCCAAGTGCTTGGGCCCCGGCACCCATGTGGGACACCCCAATGAAGCTCCTGACTCCTGGCTTTGGCCTGGCCCAGCCCTGGCCATTATAGCCATTTGGAGAGTAAGCCAGAGGATGAAAGACCTCTTTCTCTCTCTGTTTCCTCTCTCTCTCTGCAATTCTTTCAAATACATAAATAAATCTTACTTTAAAAAGTATAATGAACAATTTATTGACAAACATAACCAAATTCTTCCTAACTCAGCAGTCACAAGGGAGGGGGAAAAGGAAGAAAATTAGAAAGAGAACATTAAGCTAAGGCTGGGGATGTGGGCAATACCCTTTGTGGAGAAACCAGTTCAAAAAAAAGCTTCAGTCCTAAGGCCAGTTTTATCTAACTCAACCCACTTCACACCCACTGAGACCAGACAGATAAAGCTGCTGCACATAGAACTTCTAGGCCTATGACTTTGGATTCTATGAGTCAGGAAGTTTCTGACTTTTAACACAGGCTTTGTTCCAAAAGGACTTTGTCAATAGGCTCATTAATTACCAACAGATTCTGTCCCGCTCAGCACCAATCTAAAATGTCCTCATTCCATTTTCTTTGCTTTGTTTTGATTCAGAGAAACAGGTACCCTTGAGAGGATGTGGACTGCTCCTTGGCCAACTGAATGGGGCCAGGCCCCTAGGAGGAAGTTTTTATCCTACTTACGCTTTTCACGGATAGCTGGGATCCTCAGCTTGGCCTCTGGGGAAGGCCCAAGAGAATTGTAAGACCTCACAGTCACCCGATAGGTCTCGCCGCCCAGACGCAGTTTGAACTGCTGGTCCGTGGTGTTCTCTGTCTCTGTGAGGTTAGGATTGTTTTCCGGAGTGTACTGAATGTTGTAGAAAAGTGTTTCCTCCAGGACTGGGGCTCCTCTTGCTTTCTGAAATAAAATTTATTGTCACCCCCCCCCCAAAAAAAAAGGAAGAGAGAGAGAGGGAGATAGAGAGATTGAGAAGAGAGAGGCACTGATACAGTGTAGTGCGGTGGGGATGGGTGGGTTGTAGGGGTAATGTTAATCAATAGATGCTAAACTGCAAACGAGTCATCCTTCTCCAGGATGCTGTGCTGGTAACCCTCCAAGTGCCAGCGATGGATTTACTCGATGGTTCCTTGGTATCAAACCTTTTCGTAAGCCAACTCCGTGAGGCTCAATCAGGTGGATGCCTAAATCAGAGAAAGTAAACCACCCTGGTACCTTCTGGCTGTATCTTTCAATCTATCCCACATGGGCAGAGAAGAAAAAGCTGGAAACACTGCCCCTTTGCTTGTATCCCAAGTCTGGTCTCTCCGTGGGTCATCTCTTGCCTAGAGGCCTCCAAGGATTAGATAATACCCACACCTGTGTCTGTTATCGCCACATCACTCCTCCCTAGGGAGGAAGCCAACTTCACAGCACTAAGCACTCCCGGCCTGGCAGAGGACTAAGAGCTGAGATGAATAAAACATTGAGGGCTTCCCTATCTAAAGTGGAACTCCCAGGGCTCCCAGCCAAATTCTTGTTTTCAGAGTTGAACCTTGGCTCACTAACAAAATGTGTCGCCTGAGTGTCAACGTGTTGAGTAGTTCCCAAGAATTTAGGGCTTCCCAGTCGTTTACTTTCTGTTAGTAATCATGCGCGGAGGTGGAGCAGAATGACTAAATGTAAGGTCAGACAGGGTTTTAGGAGTCACTTTGTCCTTGACGCCAGCCATGGCCTAACAGATACACTGGCTCCTCCCTGGTGACTAGGATCTTTCTCTCTCGAGACAACCCATTCTCTTTTTAAAAAAGCAGCTTTTTTTGGGATATAATTCATATTCCATAAAATTTTAAGGTCTGCAATTCAATGGTTTTCGGTATATTCAGAGTCATGCAATGAACACTCCAATTTTACAGAATTTTAGGACCTTTTTTTTAAAAACCAACTTAAATTCTTTGAAAACTCTCCTCTGAGGCAAAAAGAAAGTCAATCCACAGGAGAAAAGAAGGAGGAGGACACTGAAGTCCATCTCAACTATTTTGCATGACCCCTAGCCGCTGCTATGTAGCTAAAACCACACGTGTGTAATGTCATTTGTCCTTTCGTCTCCTAAGTCATCGGTTTCTTTCTTGATAAAGGAGAAGAAAGCATAGCACTTGGGATTGATTTGCAAAGACTTCCCAACTCTACTAGCTGTACTTCCCCAAGCCACAGCCTCTGCAACTTGAGGGTGTCCCCTAGCCCGGGGGAGGGGGGTTGAAGGCAGAGAGGCAAGGGCAAGAGGGTGCTCCAACCCTAAATCCTGGGGATTTAATTCCACACAGGAAAGCAGAGCGATGTCTCCATTTTCAGAATGCGTTAAACTCACCTGGGCTTTCCTACGAATTCTGGAGACACACGAAGGCGTTTCGCATCTCAGGCCTCTCTGCCTGCCCTTCTTTCTCCTCACCTCCCTGGTATTTCTCTCCTAGGTTGCTTTCTCTAGTTGCCCTTTTCCTTCCCTGTTTATTCCCTCTTCCTCCTCCTTTTCTGTCCTTTCCCACTTTCTTTTCCCATCTCCTCTTCCCAACATCACCCACCTGCCTTCTCCTTGTTCCTCACTCCCAGGCCCACACTCCAGGAAAGACCATTTGTCTTTGCATATCCATACCCCAGTACTCAGCAGGACACAGGTGACATGTCCATTGGCAATGGCCCAAGGACATGACACACTGGTGATCTGTCCCCAGCCAGTGCTCCTCCTAGACGTGGAGTTGGAGCTGCAGTCTTACGTTGCCTTCTGGTGGGGACGGGGATGGTTTCATTGAGAAGGACATGGCACCTGCTGCACTTGGACTTTGAACCTGCCCCAAGTGTCAGAGCCTCAGACCAAAGAAGAAGGAGTCTCTAATGTGCACTGGAGCCCTCTACAAGGCGACCTGTGAACTCTGCTGAGCTGGACAGCCACTGTGAGACGTGGGGCATCATAAAGCCTCTAGGGAAGGAAATTCAGGAGGCAAAATTTCATGAATCACAGCATTCAGAGAGGTAAGAGACGAAAGGTTTTTAAACAGGAAAAAACAAAAACTGAAAGAAACAATAACCCCGACGAGGTCACCTTCCACAGCAGCCGCACTGGCCTTTTTCCATCTGCCTCAGCTGGTCTCAGGACCCGCCACAGTTCCAGGCCGTATGGAGCTGTAAGGAACGAGAGCGAGGTGCTGAACTCAGAGGACAGGGAGTTGCAACAAGAGATAGGGGAGTTGGCTGGGCTACCTGCTTGGACTATGGGGCCGGGGAGGATTTGCTTGAGATCAAGGAGGACTACGGGAGACAGGGGAGGAATAGCAGCCTTGTCATCACTAACAGGGTCCTCGTTTTATGGCTGAAGGATTGGAATCAACCAAGGGTAAGAAAGAAAGCTGCTCCTGGGTCTGATGACTTAATATAAGCTAAAAGTACAACAGACTCCACTGAATACAATCTATTACCCAAATCTAGATTGAAATGTGATCATTCCACATTCTCTAAGATATAACCTCTATCTACAGGAAAGCTTAGAATTGCACTGATAACAGTTAAGGAGATATGTGTACACATGAGTATAATTTATAACATGTCTACTTCCAGAGAGAGAGGAAACTGCACTTATAATGTTATAAAATACAAGAAAAAATAAATAAGAAGGGAACAGGAAAATGATCTGTACTAGGTTTCTTCCCGAGCTCTAAGTTTAATGCTTGCTTAATTACAGGAAAAGTAAGGAAGAATCATATTGAGTTGCCTATTTCTCATGGTCCAATAAACAGGAAACATAGAAATTCATAAGAAGAGGCAACCAAGTTCTGACTGTGAACACTGAATTCATAAATGGAATTTATCATGTGTATCCTGTCAAAAAGAACCTAGGATAACATAAAGGCCAACATCTGTAATCCCAGCTGAGCCCAAGCACAGAAACATTGCATACATACGTTTCTCATGGTTGTTTTCCATCAAACCCAAGGGCCTAAGTCCTGACTCATGCCTCTCTTGAGGAAACGATGTAGTCTAGGACAACACAGTCCAGCTGTACAGCTTTCTGATTATCTAACCATGCTGGGAGAAAACTCATAAAAGCAAGGGAGCTGCATTTCCCTGAATCTCTGGACTATGTCTCATATAACATGCCACAAGCAAGTTTGGCAAAGGATGGTTCACTGGCAAGCTACGGTTGAATACTCTGACATGTACTTCAAATGTCAAGATGCTGAGCTGCTGGTTGAAGAATGACCCAGGAGAGGAAAACAGAGATTTCTCAAGAACCATCCAGAGGGCTAGTGGTCTGTGATTTGGAGAAGAAAGGAAATGTCCCTAACTGGGGTGGCAATTGTTGCCCTTGAATCCTTTCTGAAGGAAATTGCAAGTTGTTATTAGGTGCACAGTGAATGGGATCCACCACGGAGGCCAACCTTGAAGTGTCTTGGGACTAAGAGGTTATCTTCAGGGACCTTTAAAATTTTAGGTGGCTTGGCCAGCGCCGTGGCTCAATAGGCTAATCCTCCACCTTGCGGCGCTGGCACACCAGGTTCTAGTCCCAGTCAGGGTGCCGGATTCTGTCCCAGTTGCTCCTCTTCCAATCCAACTCTCTGCTGTGGCCTGGGAGTGCAGTGGAGGATGGCCCAAGTGCTTGGGCCCTGCACCCAATGGGAGACCAGGAGAAGTACCTGGCTCTTGGCTTCAGATCAGTGCAGTGTGCTGGCTGCAGCAGCCATCGGGGGGTGAACCAACGGCAAAAGGAAGACCTTTCTCTCTGTCTCTCTCTCACTGTCCACTCTGCCTGTCAAAAAAAAATTTTTTTTAGGTGACTGGGTATCTTATAGTGAAATTACTGAACTCCAACTAAAGACAGCCTTATAATATGGAAAAAGTTAAGTCAGTAACTGTGTGGTCTCCAATAAAGGACCACATTTCTACAATTACTCTTGCAAAAGCCAAAATGTAGGCAGCACAATATAGCCGTTGGGCCCACGATCTCCCAGTGAGATCTATGGTGATTCAACTTTTAAAGATTGGAACTGTTCAGCCTTTACATATGGCTGCATTGAACGCCACTGAGTTGTTACCTTCCAAGCTCTGCCAGGAGTTCTCTGATTTCCCTAAGGAAATGCTTCTGATTTACTGAACCAGAAGACAGAATTGCCAGTAGGCAGCATTCCTAGCTAGGGGTTCAGACAAACCAGAGTAATGTGAGGCAAAGTCTCTCCCAGAACACAATCTTAGCACAGGGCTCTAAAATTGTCAGGGCTCCAAAGCTAACCCATGGAATTGGAGGGACTCTCATTCTGTTTCTTTTTCTTTCTTTCTTTCTTTTTTTTTTATTTTTTACAGGCAGAGTGGACAGTGAGAGAGAGAGACAGAGAGAAAGGTCTTCCTTTTGCTATTGGTTCACCCTCCAATGGCCGCTGCGGCCGGCGCACAGCGCTGATCCGATGGCAGGAGCCAGGTGCTTCTCCTGGTCTCCCATGGGGTGCAGGGCCCAAGCACCTGGGCCATCCTCCACTGCACTCCCTGGCCACAGCAGAGAGCTGGCCTGGAATAGGGGCAACCGGGACAGAATCCGGTGCCCCGACCGGGACTAGAACCTGGTGTGCCGGCGCCACAAGGCAGAGGATTAGCCTAGTGAGCCACGGCGCTGGCCTCATTCTGTTTCTAACTTGCAGCATCTACCTGTTCCAATCATGTGGAAAGGCAAACACAGAAATTGTAATATTGAGAGTGAGAGGGGGAAAATGTACAAAGTATTCATCATAATCCAGGCCAAAATATTCATCTCAAGGATAGATATATATATATATAGGTAAAAATAAGCTGCTAGTTAGATAATCAATCATTCTAGACATGTGACTAAAAGTAAGTGAGGGGCCAGAGCTGTGGCATAGCAGGTAAAGCCACCACCTGCAGTGCCAGCATCCCATATGGGCGCATGGTTCTAGTCTCGGTTGCTCCTCTTCCAGTCCAGCTCTCTGCTGTGGCCCAGGAAGGCAGTGGAGGATGGCCCAAGTGCTTGGGCCCTGCACCCGCATGGGAGACCAGGAGGAAGCACCTGGCTCTTGGCTTCGGATCGGCGCAGCGCGCCATCTGTAACAACCATTTGGGGGGTGAACCAGCAAAAAGAAGACCTTTCTCTCTCTCTCTCTATCTCTCACTGTCTAACTCTCAAGTAAATAATAAAAATAAAAAAAAATGAAATTTTAAAAAATATAAAAAGAAAAAAATTATTTATTTGAAAGCTAGATTTACAGAGAGAGGGAGAGACAGAGAGATCTTCCAACTGTTGGATTACTTGCCCAGATGGCCTTAACAGGTGGGCTAAGCCAAAGCTAGGAGCCAGTAACTTCATACTGGTCTCCCACATTGCTGCAGGAGCCTAAGTACTTGTAGGTCCATCTTCTGCTGTTTTCCCAGGTGCATTATCAGGGTGCAGGATCAAAAGTGGAGCAACCAGGACTCAAACCAGTACCCATATGGGATGCCAGTGTTGTAGGCGGCAGCTTAACCCCCTATGCCACAATGCCAGCCCCATCCCTATTTCTGAAGCAGAGAGATTAAGCAACTGCCTGATATCATAAGCTTTTAAGTAACAAAGCCAGGATTTGAAATGAATTATAGCGCATGTAGTAGACAAATAGTCACATGCTTACATGTAGGTGAATAACCGTGGTCATCAGGATGTTGAAATCCAGAAGAAAATAGGTTGTAAGTTTTCAAGCAATTAGAAAGGCACGAGTTGGGGTGTGTTAACTGGCATTTCTTTGTGAAATAGGGAAACAAATGGTTTGTGAATTGGAAAAGGGGAAACTAGTATTTTATGCAAGTAGGAATGTGCATTTTTAGCTGGGATAGAGAAAAACGAGTACAAACAAAGGCTGGAGTTCTCTAGTGGTGCCTTTGGTAAGTCAGGGTTGGTTTGGTTTAATTATCAAAGGCACAGAACACCAGCGGCTAGGGCTTTGCTGATTAATTTTAGCCAAGCTCTTAGAAGTAATAAATCAGATGAAATAGAAAATTCTGTTTCTGACAGCAAAACAGCTGAGAAGAGTGACATCAGGGAGTCTCTGGCTGTAATTAGCTAAGGAAGCTGCAGACTGAGCCACAGTGGCAGCAGAAAAGGGCAGTGACAGGCCAGAAATAAGAGTTGGCCTCAGGTGTGGCACCTGACGGGTGCTGCTTCTCCTGTCACCTGTTCAGCGCTGTAGCAGAGGAAGGGGAGAATTGGCTGGATGAAACCATATGAATTTCATTCTAATATTTTACAAGGGATCTCAGCTATGAAAGAAAATACAAACTGACAATTCCAATAGATTATGACCTCTAGGTCATTTACTGTGCCATTTGTGTGCTCTTTGATATTTGTAAACTTTTATGTTTGTCTTTGCTGGCCCTTTGAGATGATGTCTGCAGAATGTGAATGTGCTCCCAGACCCCAGTGGAAAGGGGCCAGCAAAGAAAGAGGTACTTTTCTCTAAAGGGAGAGAGAACTTCCAATTTGCTTATGGCCTTGTCCAAATACTAATGGAGTTTGTGGATTCAAAAGGCTTCCATAGCCTAGGCAGCTCATGTCAAGAGCCTTGGGTGATCACTGACATCATACATAAGAGTGTTAATAGTTAAATTAACAGGAGTCACTGCGCACTGACTCCCCATACAGGACCTCTGTCCTCAATGAGTTGTATTGAGAGTTAACTCTAAAACCAGTTCTCAAACAATTTGTGTGTGTGTAAATTATTGAGATCTTTTTTTTTTTTTTACAGGCAGTGTTAGACAGTGAGAGAGAGAGAGAGAGAGAGAGAGAGAAAGGCCTTCCTTCCATTGGTTCACCCCCAAATGGCAGCCACGGCCGGCACACCGCGTCCATCCGAAGCCAGGAGCCAGGTGCTTCCTCCTGGTCTCCCACGCAGGTGCAGGGCCCAAGCACTTGGGCCATCCTCCACTGCCTTCCCGGGCCACACAGCAGAGAGCTGGACTGGAAGAGGAGCAACCGGGACAGAACTGGCACCCCAAATGGGACTAGAACCCGGGGTGCTGGTGCCGCAGGCGGAGGATTAGCCTAGTGAGCTGCAGCGTTGGCCAATTATTGAAATCTTTACTTAGTATAGACTTGGTCTTCTGTGTACAAAGTTAATTGAAAATGAATTTTAATAGAAAATGGGATTGGCAGAGGGAGAGAGAGGAGCCTCGAGGAGGGGTGGGAGTGTGGGTGGGCGGGCTGATATGGTGGGAAGAATAGCTATATTTCTGAAGTTGTACTTATGAAATTCATATTCTTTAAAAAATAAATTTAAAAAACTGAATACAGAAAAAAATGTGCTCCCAAGTCACATAATTTTCATGAACAGTTTACAGGAAACTCACATCTTGACCAGCTTTATTTTAACTATCCGTGTGGTTTTATTTATTTCAGATGCAGATAGACCTTATCACATGGAAGGCACGATTCTAAGCACGGAGCGCATTGTGACTTCGACTTTTCTGTGGCCCTTTCCTACCCTGCTCCAGCACGGTATGTGAAGGCAGAACCTCAGGTGAGAAGGCCGTCAGTGGCCGCCTGGCCAGCTCCCCATCTGCTGCATGAATCCCGGGTTCGGTAACTGCCTCCACCAAGGGGTCGTCCATGCTAAGCGTGAACAGCTCCGGCAGGCAGTCCGGAAGGCATCAAGTTGGTTCCCCACAGCAGAGCATTTGTGAGAAGGTGGCAAGCATGTGTTAACACCAGCCTGGTCTCATGAGAAACTGAACCAGGATCTGGAAGAATAAGTTACCATATGGACCAGGGAGCATGGAAATTGAGCCCAGTGTGGGACTTGGCTGTGAGACGGAATGTGAAGGGCTGTGGGAGAATTCGTGATCTAAAACTCATGTCTCTCACAAAACATAACGGGTGAAGCCTCAAAGGCATGCAGGAAGGGTCAGCTGTTTGCATTTCTTGTCCATGTTTCAGAAAACCATGTGTGGACATTGCCAAGTAGTCTCCTAATTAGTCACTCATTCCTTGTGTTGGGTTGGAATATGGTTCCGGTCCTAATCCCTGGGCACTGTAATGTTGCCTTATTGGCAAAAGAGACATTGCAGATGGGGCTGAGGGGGACACCATCCCGAGCTATCCAGGCAGCCTGAAATGTTGTCACAGAGGGAGGCAGGGGGAGATTTGACCAAAGAGGAACAAAAGGTGATGATGGAAGTGGAGGTTGGAGCGATGAGGGACAGGCAATCAGCCAAGGAACACAGGCAAACACCAGAGGCTAGACCAGGTAAGGGAACGCGCTCTGTTTGCAGGCCCCTGGATGGAAACAGCCCATCAGCACCTTAGCCTCAGCCTGGTGAAATAGATTTTGGACTTCTGATCTCCAGAAGTATAAGAAAATAAATCTGTGTTGCTCTGAGCCACATGTCATGATTTGTTGGGGCAGCTATCAACAGCAAATGTGTTCATAAAATGCTCATCAGTCATCTCTCGGGGCCAGCGCTGGGCAATGCTCTTGTGAGTAGTAACGTGTGCTAAGGGTCCCTGAGCCATTTGTTCACAGCTCTGAAGCTCCACCGCCTCGTCTCACGGATAGGCATGGCTTCATACATACTTTATAGGGCTTGTCGGAGGACGGACACTAACGGTAGCAGGACGAATAACAAGGAAAGCAAGTCTGACATTTAGTGAGGGCTCATCATGGGCTAAACACATTGTTCCCTTTAATATTTGAAATAGCACTAAAAAGCAGGTTCTACAAACTCAGTTTTATAAATTACATTCTAATCTGGAAAAGGGGAATAAACAGTGAGGCTGCCTTGCCCAGAGCCGCTCCAGAGCCAGGCAGGGGCTGAAGCCCAGCCCGGCGCCCGAAGCCAAGCGAGCAGCAATCTTGAAAGGCGTCCCTGACGCATGGTGAATGGTGAGCATTCGATCAGTGTGCAGTTCCTGTCTCTTACCTTCACTGTCATGAATCATGTGACTTTGTTGTTGCTGTTGTTGAGAGGTAGAGAGACAGAGAAAGAGGAAAAGAGAGCTTCTATTTCCCAAATGCCTGCAATGGCAGGGGCTGGGCTGGAGCTCAAGCTGAGAGCCAGAAACTCAATCCAGGTCTCCCATACAGGTGGCAGGAACCCAATTACTTGAGCCATCACAACCACCTCCCAGGATCTGCATTAGCAGGGAGCTAGAATTGAAAGTTGAACCCATGGGGCTGGCACCGTGGTGTAGCCAGTAAAGCTGCCTCCTGCAGTGCCAGCATCCCATCTGATTGCCTGCTTGACTCCTGGCTTCTCTTCTTTGGATCCAGCTCCCTGCTAATGTGCTTGGGAAAAGCAGCAGAGGATGACCCAAGTGCTTGGGACCCTGCACCCTCGTGGGAGTTCCACAAAAACTCCTGGCTCTTGGCTTCGGATCAGCCCAACTCCAGCTGTTACAGCCATCTGGGGGAATGAACCAGCAGAAGGAAGATCTGTGTGTGTGTGTGTGTGTGTGTGTGTGTGTATAATTCTACCTTTCAAATAAATAAAAATAAATCTTAAAAAGTAAAAAAAGGAGCTGGGGCTGGTGCTGTGGCATAGTAGGCTGAGCCTCCACCTGGGGCACCAGCATCCCATATGGGTGCTGGTTTGTGTCTCAGCTGCCCCACTTCCGATCCAGCTCTCTGCTGTGGCCTGGGAAAGCAGCGGAAGATGGCTCAAGTGTTTGGGCCCCTGCACCCATGTGGGAGACCCAGAAGAAGCTCCTGGCTCCTGGCTCTGGATTGGCCCAGCTCTAGCCGTTGTGGCCATTTGGGGAATAAACCAGCAGATGGAAGACTTTCTTTCTGCCTCTTCCTCTCTCTCTGTAACTCTCTCTCTCAAATTAAAAAAATAAATTGAACCCATGTTTTGTGACATGGGTGGACATCCTAACCAATGTCTTACCCACAAGGCCCAATACTTAACCCCACATGACATTTTCGTTTTGTTTCTTACACTTTTACCTTTTTAGTAGTAGTTCCAGGGTCTACAGGAGTCGGCCTTTACGCTGTCACTGGATACCTTTAAACCCAATGATGCCACTTCACATTCAGAGTAAGAACCTCAATCCTCTGCCTTTGGATACAAAGCTCTAAGGCAGCCAACACGATCAGACGAGCACAGCTCACTCCAGGGCTCAGGTGGCTGTGTACGGGGAGGGAACGTGCAGCCTCCGCAGGCCTGGGTTCTCAGGGCCCCACACGTCTAAGCCTAGCACGTGATGAAACCTCCCAGGCCGAGGCTGAGGCAGCCACGCACCAGGGCTGGCAGAACACGGAATCAACTGGGCCACTTACCTTCCGCCTCCGTTACTCCCCTTTCTTCTCGGCTCAAGTCGCTCCAGAACTTTGACTCTCTGACCATACACTGCAGATTCACGACATACTCCGTAGACGCCTGCAGTCCTGTGAGGTTGTAGGCATAGTCTACATAGTTGCTGGGGAATTGCAGTCTCTTCTGCAAGACGAGACAGCCCTGAGAGGAGGCAGAGACAGCACTTGGCAGCCTTCCCTTTTCCCTTTTCGCCCCTCAATGCTCTCTTGCCATCTTATTTTGAGTATATATTTTTTTATTTGAAAGGTAGTGAGACACACACAGAGAAGTTGCCCACAGAAATATCCCATCTGCTGCTTTGCTCTCCAAATGCCAGCCACAGCCAGGGTTGAGGCAAGCTGAAGCCAGGAGTCCAGAACTCCACCCGGGTCTCCCACATGGAAGGCAGAGACCCAAGTACTCGAGCTGGCACCTGCTGCCTCCCAGGACATGCACTAGCAGGAAGCTGAAACGGAAGCAAAGGAGCAGGAATTCAAACCAGGCTCTCTGATACATAACATGGGCATCTCAAGCCACAACTTGAGAGCCAAACGCCTACTTACTGACCGTTTTAGAATTAGCTACTCTATGTCTCACATTTTAAAACAGATGATTTTCATGAGTAAACCTCCACACCGCCTGGGGACAATTTGTGCCTGAATGAGTGTAAATCATCCCATGAACCACACCATCTCCCTTCCATTTCCTGTCTGGAGGCTTGTGCAACAGGGGCCAGCATTGTGCCATAGACGGTTAAGCCAAAAGTGGCACCAGCATCCTGTGTTGGAGCATCAGTTCCAGGGCTGGATGTCCCCCTTCTGATCCAGCTCCCTGCTAATGCAGACGGGAAGGCAGTGGAAGATGGCTCAAGGGCTTGGGCACCTGCCACTCATGTGGGAGACCAGAATGGAGTTCCCAGCTCCTGGTTTTGGCCTGGTACAAACCTAGCCATTGAGGCCATTCGGGGAATGAACCAATAGATGGAAGAGCTCTCCCTTTCACCTCCCCTCTCTATCACTCTGCCTTTCAAATAAAGAAATAAGCCTTTTTTTAAAAAAAAAAATTCCCACCCCTAATTTATGAAAGGAGGGAAGGAAGAGGGGAGGGAAGAAGGAAAAAAAGAAAAGAAAAAGGGAAGGGAAGAAAGAAAAGGGAAAAAAAAGAAGAAAAGAGAGAAGAATACAAGTTTTGAGAGCTTGAATGTACAAATTCACCTTGACGTTCTCTCCTGGAGGGTAAAAGTAACTAAATCAATTCCTCTCTCTTGATGTCAGTTTCTCATGAACAAAATGAGAGTGTTTCTTAATAGAAGCTTTGATGCTATTTTGTTGTATTTTTTAAAGATATTTTTGAAAGGCAGAGTGAGAGAGAGAGAGAGGGAAACAGAGACAAATCTTCCATCTGCTGGTTCACACCCCAGATGGCTGCCACGCCTGGGACTTGGCCAGCTGAAGTCAGGAGCCAGGAACTCCATCCAGGTCTCCCGCATGGGTGACAGGAACTCAAGTGCTTGGGCCATTATCCATCAAGTTCCAGGCACATTAGCAAGGAACTGAAGCAGAGTAGCCATGACTCAAAGCTGCACTCCAATGTGGGATGCAGGCATCCCAGGTGGCGGCTTGTCGCTCCCCCTCTTCGTGGAGGAACGACACAGGACCCTGCACTGTTCTTTCGTCTGCTCAGCCCTCCCCGGGTTTGCTGCTGGTTCTTCCCGGGTTGGCTACTATCCCTTCCACCTCCGTGGAAGGGCAGTTCCCCCTGCCACATTCCCCACTTCCGCAGGGGAGCGGCACACCGCCGGCCGGCTTTCTCGGGGGCTGCACAGGTTCCCTTAGATGTTCCCCATAGATGTTCCCGGTGCATGCCGTCTCTCTCCTCCTTTATAGTCCTCCTCCGCCAATCCTAACCCGGCTGCCCACACGCCGAGTACGCTGCTCTCCAATCAGGAGCAAGTCCTACAGTTAATTGGTTGAACTGGAGGCAGCTGTGTGGAAGCTGTTTACTTCTCTCCCAGCGCCATATTGTGGGAGAGCAGATGCATAGAATAAGTCTTAATTCCAGTAACTCAGTCTAGTCCGGTTTGCTCCCCACAGATCCCCCTTTCTTTTTATTTTTTGGCGTTGATACGCGCCTGTCTTCGGTGTCCCGCGGCACACACTCTGCTCTACTTGCTAGAGTTGCCACAGGCTCTTACAAGTCCTATCAATCAGGAAAACCGAATCCGGGTCCTCTCTTCGCCATGTTGTGAGGAGGTTTTTAGGCACTGATGCATGCCTGTGTTCGGTGCCCTGCAGCGCATGCTCTGCTCTGCCTGCAGGGGCTTACAAGCTCTATCAGGCAAACCAAATCCAAGCCTTCTCATTGCCTTTTTGTGGGGAGGCCTTACTGATGTTAATTCGTGCCTGTCTTCGGTGACCTGCGGCGCATAAGCTGCTAGCCGCCGCAGGTGCTCATCGTGCTCATCGCCTCACTTAATCAGGCAGACCGAATCCAAGCTTTCTCATTGCCATGTTGAGGGGAGGCCTTATTTTTCTCTATTTCTCTATCTCCGGGCATTCCTATTTCTCCCATTTTACTTCTGTCTGCCAACATTCCTATTTCTCTCACTTTACTTCTAAACTTCTGTTTCTCTTATCCCTGCAGCTTCCCGCTGCCCGCCCCGAGGCTACTTCTCGGCAGCTTTCCGGCTCTGAGCCGCTTCAGCCCGCGCCTCTTTCATCTGCGCAGCTTCCCAGCTTTGCGCGGCTTGGCTTCGCGCGCTCCGCGGTCTCCACGCCCTTCGCGTCTGCACCACGGCCTCGCTCCAGCCCCGTTCCCTATCTATTCACGCCCCGTGCTCTCTCTGCACGCGGCGGCTTCCGCGAGTAACACAGCGTAGCTTACGTGTCCGCCACTAGCATTCAATCTAAGTTCCCCGGGCTAGCCTGGCGAATTCAACCCAGCATACGTCTCCGCCCCACGGTTTGGCTTCCCGTCCTTTGCTCCCCGGGCTAATCAGACGGATCCCAACCAGGCTCACGTTTCAGCTTCTGGTTTCAACTTTTCGCCCCCTATTCCCGGGCTAACTTGAGAATCCCAAAGTGGCTTCCGTTTCCGCCTTGGCCTGCCCCCCGCGGCTTCAATTTCCCTAACATTTTTCTCTACCCGGTATGTTTCCCCAAACTTTCCTCCAACGATATTCCTCCCTCATTTCTCCTGGCCTCTCCCCACAGTCCGTATCCGAGTCTGTTTGTTCTAGCTTTCACTTTCGCTTTCGACCTTAGAGATTTCTCCCAGCTTCCCCCCGTAGTCCGTATCTGAGTCTATGCCTAGGCTTTCAATAGCTTCTTCCGGCACCCTTTTCGTCCGGCTTTTCCCTAGGCTGTTTGCTAGTCTCTCTCTCCGGTATTTTCCCAGTTCTTCCCGTTTCTTCCCTCTTAAGTTTGCTATCCGACCTAGGTTTCCTAATCCGAGTCATTTCTTCCCTCCTAAGTTTCCTATCCGAGCTAGGTTTCCTATCCGAGTCACGGCACCATTATGTCGCTCCCCCTCTTCGTGGAGGAACGACACAGGACCCTGCGCTGTTCTTTCGTCTGCTCAGCCCTCCCCGGGTTTGCTGCTGGTTCTTCCCGGGTTGGCTACTATCCCTTCCACCTCCGTGGAAGGGCAGTTCCCCCTGCCACATTCCCCACTTCCGCAGGGGAGCGGCACACCGCCGGCCGGCTTTCTCGGGGGCTGCACGGGTTCCCTTAGATGTTCCCCATAGATGTTCCCGGTGCATGCCGTCTCTCTCCTCCTTTATAGTCCTCCTCCGCCAATCCTAACCCGGCTGCCCACACGCCGAGTACGCTGCTCTCCAATCAGGAGCAAGTCCTACAGTTAATTGGTTGAACTGGAGGCAGCTGTGTGGAAGCTGTTTACTTCTCTCCCAGCGCCATATTGTGGGAGAGCAGATGCATAGAATAAGTCTTAATTCCAGTAACTCAGTCTAGTCCGGTTTGCTCCCCACAGCGGCTTAACTTCCTGGTGCCACAGTGCCAGCCCCAGCATTTAGCTATTTCTGTCTGAGCAGTCACTGTTGCTAAACTCAAGTATTTAACTGCTTCAGAAAAGTAAACCACACTGACAGGCATGTCCGTTGTGTTGGTAGGCCCACAGAACTCTGGGAGAGAAGGAAGTCTGGACATTCCTTACATGTATGTAACAGGTGGGAAAAGTGGTACCTCGTTTTCAGCTCCCAGACTTAAAGGAAATCAAGCAAAAGGAGGAAACACAGTAAAGGCAGACAGCTGAGGATCCCGGCCACGCGTGGACTCCCAGCCCAGTGAGCGCCTGGAGCAAGGAGGTAGGATCAGAGACCATGCAGGCTCACTGCTAAACTCCAGATTCCCCGAGTGTCCTTTTCCTGATGGCCCTGGCGACACTGTGGCAGCTGTCAGGAGTTATGAGCGCATAACTTGGGACAATTTGTCATTTGTTATGGGCCCAGCTGGAGCAGGATTAAGACTATCGGGAGAAGCCCAACCACATGGCATCCTCCCTAAGTAATGCAAAATAAAAACTATCCGCAGGCACCACACAACTTCTATTTGGCTTCTATTTGACTTTTCATGTTTTGTAAAATGCATAATTTCCTTGCTAAGAAACCTTGTTAAATTTTCCTGCCGCTTGGCTCTCACCCTCAGCACATGCCTGGTGTTCTCACGGCTGTGCTCTGGCTCCAAAAGCTCTCTCCAGTGCATTCCTGCAAGCCTGTTCTCCCCACGCCAGCCTCAGAGGACACCAGGGAAAGCTACTTGGTCTTTCGACTGAAGTGCCTACTCCTTTTCCTCCGCTTTCTTCTCGCCAAGGTGCTGTTAGCCCTCCACGATCCGGGATCTGAAGCTCCTTCACAGGCAGGCTGAGAGGAAAAGTGCCCCACCTCATCACAGGCAGTGCAGTCCTAGAAACACTAGTAGGCTGCACTGGGGTCGAGACCAACAATCTACGCTCTGTGCCAGATGTTAGCTCATCCAAAGTGCCTTCAGGGGTGAATCAGAAGTGAATCAAATTCTTAAAACACTCTGGGGACCCCTTTCTAGAATGTTCACATGGTTTCATTATATGTGGAAGTGCAAACTCTCTGGGGCCAGCATTGTGGTTCATGAGTGCAGCCACCTGCTTTGCTGGCTTCCCATACGGGCACCAGCGCAGGTTCTGGCTGCTCCACTTTCACTTCAGCCCCTTGCTACTGTGCCTGGGAAAGCATGGAGAATGGCCCAAGTGCTTAGGGCCCTGCACCAGCTGGGAGACACAGGAGGAGTTCCAGGCTCATGGTCATTTGGGGAATGAACCAGTGGGTGAAAAATCTCTCTCTCTCTCTCTCTCCCTCTCTCTCTCTCTCTCTCTCTCTGTGTGTGTGCGTAACTCTACCTTTCAAGTAAATAAATAAATCTACCTTTCAAGTAAATAAATAAATAAATTTCAATAAATAAACTCTACCTTTCAAGTAAATAAATGAATCTTTTTTTTTAAGTATAAACCCTTGAGGGGCCAGCGCCATGGCTCACTTGGTTAATCCTCTGCCTGCGGCACCGGCATCCCATATGGGTACCGGGTTCTAGTTCCGGTTGCTCCTCTTCCAGTCCAGCTCTCTGCTGTGGCCTGGGAGGGCAATGGAGGAAAGCCTAAGTGCTTGGGCCCCTGCACCTGCATGGGAGACCAGGAGGAAGCACCTGGCTCCTGGTTTCAGATGGGCACAGCACCAGCCGTTGTGGCCATTTGAGGGGTGAGCCAACGGAAGGAAGACCTTTCTCTTTGTCTCTCTCTCACTGTCTATAACTCTACCTGTCAAATAAATAAAAAAAATTAAAGTTTAAACCCTTTAGACCAGAGCTCCAGGAAGGTTTGGAGGTTGCTGAAGGCACACTCACAAGAAGGATAAATTTAGAATCAAAAAACTTAGAGCTTAGGTTTGCCACTTAAAAACTTCGTGATCTCTGACAGGTCACTGAAGCTCTCTACACCGCAGTTTCCTGATCTATGAAACTGGGGACAGCAATGCTTCATTTACAGGAGAGTTTCCAAGAATTAACAGTTTGGGGTACAAGAAAGGACTCTATAGCTCATACAAGAACAGGTCTTGTTGCATCAGTGTGTTAGAATTTTAGGGTAAGTTTTACGTGGCTTAGTTTAGTTAAACAAACACTTATTGAACACAGACTTGTGGCAGGCAAAGGGAACACGAAGATAAAACCAAGGTCCCTGCACTTGAGAGACTTGGTTTAACTAGGGGAAGAGATCAGTATAAATGTGTTCATTGCTAAGTGCAATGACAGAAACACACAGAGGAGGGGCACCTCGCGCAGGGCCTCAGAAGGAAAAGATTCGGGCCCGAGTCCTGAAATACGAATGTGGGGGGAAAGGAGCAGAGGCACTGAGTAACAACGAAGCAGGATGTAAGCGATGCGACTCCGATTTACAAGAGAGCCAGGGGTGAGACAAAAGATGATGGAAGGGTTGGGAGGCTCAGGTCTCGGAGGGTCAACCACTTGGACATTTCTCCATCAACAGTGGGAGCCACTGTCAGAAGGTTGGAGTAAGTTAAGTTGAGCTTAGCTGGATCTAGAAAGGAGGGTGAGGGGCTGCACATGCCACCTCCAACTCACATCCTGGAGGAGAGCAGGAAGGAGGAAAAGATGGGTATAGACACAGAGGTCTTGTCAAAGAGGCGGGTGCAGAACGCCTCGAGCCGGAGCAGTTCACACCTGCTGCCCTCTGTTAGTGTTGTGCATGGTCTAGCAACTTCAGTCACTTTCGTTTTCTTGTCGAGTCCTACACCAGAGCCTGCATTGGCTCTGGGCCCAGACACGGAGAAGGAGTCAAGGGCTGCTTGCCAGGAGATCACCCCAGAAGTCCCGCTGGTTCACGGAGACCATCGTGTACGATATGAGGGGAGGGGAGCTTGTGCTATGCAGGGAACTGCCTGGCTTAGGGGTCCCCTTACTTACAAATCAAGGAGTCCAATGCTCTACGAGTCTGGTTCTAAGACAATGGTCCCACTGCTGTTTAGAAAGGAAACTGAAAGAAGTGGCCAAAATCCAATGACCAATGAAACTTGACACATATTCTTTTCTGAAAGAGCTCTAGAGGAGGAGAGAGTGCAAAGGGCACAGTGCCTGTGGGTGCCAGCGAGGGGAAGAATCTCATGGTTCCCCCTGGGCAAGAGGAAAATGGCTGAATGAATGCCATGGTAGTTAGGTATACTCGCAGAAACTTGCTTACATAGCCACACGCAAAGGAGAGTTTGGGAACAGGCATTCTGCTTAGTGGTTAAGACAACTGCAACCCACGCCAGAGTGCCTGAGTACAATTCGCAGATCTAGCTCCTGTCTCCAGCTTTCTACTAATGAGAACTCTGGGAGGCAGTTCAAGAAACTAATTGGCCAGCACCACCTGTTGCAAGCATTTGCAGGCTAGAGGAGAGACCAGCAAGTAGATCTCTGTCTCTCTCTAGTCTCTCTGCCTCTCAGATAAAATAAAAGTAAATTGTATAAAAGTACATAAATAGAATACAAAAGAAATGCCTATATGTCAAATAAAAAATCAGACTACCCAATAGAAAAAAAAATGTGAAGGATTTAAATCAGTACTTCAGAAAGAAGGAATCCAAATGTCCAGTAAGCACATGAAAATCTCATTAAAACTCAAGTAAATGCAAATTAAAGTCATGGATTACTATACAGCAATCAAGATGTATAAACTATAGCCCTATATAACATGAATGAATCTTGGGGCTGGCATTGTGGCACGGTGGGTAAAGCCCCCACCATCCCATATGAGCACTGGTTTGGTCTGAGTGCTGGGTGCTCCACTTCTGATCCAGCTTCCCACTGATGTACCTGAGGGAGCAACAGAGGGTGTTCCAGGTGCTTGAGTCCCTGTCACCCATGATGGGAGACCCGAATGAAGCTTCTGGCTTCAGCTTGGCCCAGCCCCCGTTGTTGCAGCCATTTGGGGAGTGAGCTAGTGGGTGAAGACATCTTTATCTCCATCTTTCTCTCTAACTCCATCTTTCTCTCTAACTCTGCCTTTCAAATAAATAAATCCTTCAAAAAATTTTAAACATGAATGAGTCTTCAAAGCACACTATTGAGAGAAAAAGCCAAACATACACACACATACACACAAATACAAAATATATGGATTCTATTTCTGCTGGGAACTTCCTTGGCCAAGGAACAGGAGCATAGTCCCTGAAACTATCATTTTTCATAGATGCAGTCTTAAGTGGTGAAATTATATGAAAAGCAAAGAAGTGGTTCCCATGAAAATCAGGATAGTAGCTAGCTCCGAGGAGAAGAGAGGCAATCCTTGGAAAAGCTAAGCAGGTGGTTTGTGCACCAGTGCTGGCTTCATGACAAAGTGTTACATGCAATAGTTAGGGTTTGCTTGCTTCTGTAAATGTGTCTTCTACTTCACAAAAAGAAAATAAAGAAAATGGTCAGACCACAGACTCTGTGACAGCCAACCCCAGTCATCACCCCATCCCTGGGCTCAGGATGCAGAACGCCTATGGTAGAACCCTGTTCTTTCCTCTCTAGAGGGTCTGAATGGGAAGCTGGGGGGCAAAGTTCTCCTGATCATCTCTCTTGCGTTTTCAAAGTACAAAGTGAAAAGGCCATTCCTGCGCGAAGACAGCTGTTAATGAGTCTCTTCCTCGGGTCCTCTAACAACATTTTCATGGCACAACTTACCCGACTTGTACTATTGATGGCCCAGAAGCGAAGTCTGTATAAGAAATTGGGTGGTTCGGGAGCCTGTGCAGGTGCTTTCCATTTTACTTGAAGCATTCGTTTGACGCCCAAAACTGGTTTCACACTCAAAATCTCAGGTGGTTCAGTTTTCACTGAAAATAAAAATTGTACGGTTTTCATATTCACAAAAAGATGAGCAAATGCTAATAACATCCACCCAACTTTGGAAAAACACGAAAGACAAACGAAGCCTGGAAAGGAGACACAGTGCACGTGTTAGGCTTGCTCAATGCAGACAGAAGCAGGAAGGCAGTGCAAAGGGGATGCCACTTCACCCACCTCCCCACAAGCAACGTCCCATAAAATGAGGACAGATTTCTGCAACTTCTCTGCACATTCACCTTGTAGTATCCTGTGCCAGGCAGAGGGTGGTAAAAGGAAACCACGGCAGCAGAAACTGGCTGTGGCCCTTCTCTGCTCCCCTCTCCCAGGCCTGCCTTGCGTTGATCCTAGATGAAGAACTACTCACTAGAAAAAAATGTCTGATTTACTTTGCACACTGCAAACATTCTAAACCCAAATTGCTTTCATTGAAAATAGCTGCTCTTGTGGCGTAGCAGGTAAAGCCACTGCCTGCAGTGCCAGCATCCCATATGGTCGCGGGTTCAAGTCCAAGCTGTTCCACTTCTGATCTAGCTCTCTGCTATGGCCTGGGAATGCAGTAGAAGATGGCCCAAATCCTTGGGCCCCTGCACCTGTGTGGGAGATCCAGAAGAAGCTCCTGGCTCCTGGCTTCAGATCGGTGCAGCTCCAGCCATTGCAGCCAATTGGGGAATGAACCAGCGGATGGAAGACTTCTCTCTTCCTCTCTCTCTCTCTCTCCCTCTCTGTAACTCTGACTTTCAAATAAATAATTTTTTTAAAAAGGAAAAGAAAATAGCTGTTCTTCTGGTTATAGGATTAGTATCTGGTCATTATAGAAAAAATTTATACTACAGAAAAAACACAAAGAAAAACTTAAAATAATCTATAAACCATCAACCAGAGATAAACCTACTAACATTTTGGTGTATTTCCCTCCAGGCTATTTTCTGTGTATATAGTTGCATATTTTTTTAAAAGATTTATTTATTTATTTATTGGAGAGTAGAGTAACAGACAGAGACAGAGAGTTAGGTCTTTCATCCTCTGTTTCACTCCCTAAATGCCTACAACAGCTGGAGCTGGTCCAGGAGCTTCTTCTGGGTCTCCCACGTGGGTGCAGGAGCCCAAACACTTGGGCCAACTTCCACTGCTTTCCCAGGCCATAGTAGAAAGCTGGATTGGAAGAGGAGCAGCCAGGACATGAACCAGCACTCATACTAGATGCCAGTGCTGCAGGCAGAAGCTTAACCTACCACACCACAGCACTGGCTCCATCATTTTATTTTATTTTTTTTTAAAGATTTGTTAGTTTGAAAGGCAGAGTGACAGAGAGGAAGAGACAGAGATACCCCATCTGCTGGTTCAATCCTCCAAACAGCTACATAGGTCAAAGCTGGTACAGGCCAAGGCTAGGAACCCAGGACTCCATCCAGGTCTTCCACCTGAGTGGCAGAGGCCATAGTAATTGGGCCATCTATTGCTGCTTTCCCAGGCTCATCAGCAGGAAGCTGGATCAGAAGCCAAGCAGCTGGGACTCAAACTGGCGCGTACATGAGACACCAGCATCATAGACAGTGGCTTAACCTGTTGCGCCACAACACCAGCTCCTTGCATATCTTTTAAACAAAACTGATGTTATCAAAATCATTTGTTTTCCTGTTTGAAAGAACAACATCGATAAATTAAAAAGACAATTCACAGAAAGGGAGAACATACTTGCAAGTCATATATCTTATAAAGAACTTTTACTGTGAATATATAAAGAACTCCTAAAACTCAACACTAAAAAGACAAGTCAATTAAAATTGGGCAAAGGATGTGAATGAAAATTTCTCCATGGAGATATACAAACGACCGAAAAGCACATGCTAGAAGCTCAACATCTTAGTCACTGCGTAATGAAAATCAGAACCACAAATGAGACGGACACCAGTGCAGACCCACTAAGATGGCTATAATAAAACAGACAGACAACGACAAGTATCGGTGAGGACCTGGAGGAATTAGGATCTTTGCAAATTGCTTCTAGGAATGTTAAATGGTGCAGCTATTTTGTGAAAGATTAGGAACTCAAAAAGTAAAACATAGTGTTACCATGTAATTCAGCAGTTTCAATGTCTAGCTAAGAGAACTGAAACTTACGTCCACACAAAACTTTGTATACAATTTTTCAAAGCAGCAAACATCACAATAATCAAGAAGTAGAAATAACCCAGACGTCAATCAACTCATGTCTGGGCTAACGAAATGAGCTAGAGCAACCCTGTGGAATAGTATTTGCAGCCGTAGAAAGGAAGGAAATCCTAATTCATGTTGTAACATGAGTGAACTTTGAAAATATTATGCTAAATGAAAGAAGGAAGAGGCTGGCGCCGTGGCTCACTAGGCTAATCCTCCGCCTGCGGCGCTGGCACCTTGGGTTCTAGACCCGGTTGGGGCTCCGGATTCTGTCCCGGTTGCCCCTATTCCTGTCCAGCTCTCTGCTGTGGCCCGGGAGTGCAGTGGAGGATGGCCCAAGTGCTTGGGCCCTGCACCCCAGGGGAGACCAGGAGAAGCACCTGGCTCCTGGCTTCAGATCAGTGCAGTGCACTAGCCATAGCGTGCTGGCCACAGCGGCCACTGTGGGGTGAACCAACGAAAAAAGGAAGACCTTTCTCTCTGTCTCTGTCTCTCTCTCTCTCACTGTCCACTCTGCCTGTCGATGGAAAAAAAAAAAAAAAAAAAAGAAAGGAAGATGCAAAAGGCTGTATATTGTATCCTTACGTTTACATGAAAAGTCCCCAATAGGCAAATCTATATGGGCAGAAAATAGATCAGTGGTTTCCAGGAGTTGGGGGAAGAGTGAAGAATAACTAGAGACTGATCACTAATGGACGTGCAGAGTCTCCATGAAGCTGTGAGAATGTTTGGAATTAGACACTGGTGATGTTTGCCCAAATTTGTGAAAATGATTTTGAAAACCATAAAATTTTATATTTTTTAAGTGAGCTTTAGGCTGGCGCCGCAGTTCACTAGGCTAATCTTCCACCTGCAGCGCCGGCACCCCAGGTTCTAGTCCCGGTCGGGGTGCCAGATTCTGTCCCAGTTGCCCTTCTTCCAGGCCAGCTCTCTGCTGTGGCCCGGGAGTGCGGTGGAGGATGGCCCAGGTGCTTGGGCCCTGCACCCGCATGGGAGACCAGGAGGAAGCACCTGGCTCCTGGCTTCGGATGGGCGCAGCGCCGGCCGTGGCGGCCATTTGGGGGGTGAACCAACAGAAGGGAGACCTTTCTCTCTGTCTCTCTCTCACTGTCTAACTCTGCCTGTCCAAAAAAAAAAAAAAGGTGAGCTTTATATGTGTGAATTACAACTCACTAAAACTATTATTTAAAAATTATTATTATTTAAAAATGTTCTCCCTGATTGGCGACAACTAACTGAGCACCAAAGGGGAAACTTGTTGAAGTGAAATGGACACTATGAGAAACAGTGACTTGATCAGCTCTTGTCCTGACGGTTGATGTACAATGTAATACTTTATCCATTTTAGTACTTTTTTTTGTTCTAGTACCGTTGGTTGAACTCTGTAATTAACACACAATTATTCTTAGGTGTTTAAATTTTAACTGAAAAGTGATCCCTGTTAGGAATTTGGAAAACATTATGCTGAGTGAAATAAGCCAATCCCAAAGGGACAAATACCACATGTTCTCCCTGATAGGTGACAACTAACTGAGCACCAAAAAGGAAACCTGTTAAAGTGAAATGAACACTAGGAGAAATGGTGACTTGATCAGCCCTCACCCTGACTGTTGATGAGCAGCTTAATATGTTATCCCTCTTAGTATTTTTTTTGTTTGTTCTACTTAATACTTTTGGTTGAATACTGTAATCAATACACAATTCTTCTTAAGTGCTGAAACTTAACTGAAAAGTGATCGCTGTTAAATATAAGAGTGGGAATAAGAGAGGGAAGAGATGTGCAATTCGGGACGTGCTCAAGCTGACTTACCTCAAACGGTAGAGTTAGAAACATACCAGGGGATTCCAATTCAATCCCATCGAGGTGGCATGTACCAATGCCATCTCACTAGTCCCAGTGATCAATTTCTGTTCACAATTGATCACAACGATAGGACTAAGAACCAAAGGGATCACATCAACAAGAATAGTGTCTGCAAATACTAGCTGATAGAATCAAAAAGGGGAGAGAATGATCCAACATGGGAAGTGAGATACACAGCAGACCCATAGAATGGCAAATGTCCCAACAGCACTCTGGCCTCATAATCAGCCCTTAAGGCATGCAGATCTGGCTGAAATGCACATGAGAGTATTTCAGGCATGGAAAGCCAAGACACTCTGGGGAAAAAAAAAAAAAAAAAACCTAAATGAAAGATCTCCTCGAGTGAGATCCCAGTGAAAAGAATGGGTCATCAAAGAAGGAGGTACCTTTCTCTGAAGGGAGGAGACAACTTCCACTTTGACCATGGCCTTGTCTAAATATGATCAGAGTCAGTGAACTCAGGGGGCTTCCATAGCCTTGGCAGCTCATGACAAGAGCCTAGGGTGATTACTGATGCCATAAACAAGAGTGTCAATTTGTTAAGTCAACAACAGGAGTCACTGTGCACTTACTCCTCATGTAGGATCTCTGTCCTTAATGTGCTGTACATTGAGATTTAATGCTATAACTAGTACTCAAACAGTATTTTTCACTTTATGTTTCTGTGTGGGAGCAAACTGTTGAAATCTTTACTTAATGTATGCTAAACTGATCTTCTGTATATAAAGAGAATCGAAAATGAATCTTGATGTGAATGGAAGGGGAGAGGGAGTGGATAAGGGGAGGGTTGCGGGTTGGAGGGACGTTATTGGGGGGAAGCCATTGTAATCCATATTCTGTACTTTGGAAATTTATATTCATTAAATAAAAGTTATTCGGATTTAAAAAAAAACAGGCTGGATGAAAACTGAGTTAAAAAAAAAAAAACTAGTGGATGGAAGACCTTTCTCTCTGTTTCTCCCTCTCTCTGTAACTCTGCCTCTCAAATAAGTAAATAAAATCATTAAAAAAAATTATATGTTGGGGTCTGGCATTGTGGCATACTGGCTTAAACTGCTGCTTATGAAGGCAGTGTCCTAGATCAGAGCAACTGTTCAATTCCTGCTTCTCTGCTTCTGATCCAGCTTCCTGTTAATGTGCCTGGGAAGACAGCAGAGATGGGCCAATTGCTTGGATTCCTGCCACCCATGAAGAAGACCCAGAAGCAGTTCCTGGCTCCTGGCTCCTGGCTCCTGGCTTCAGCCTGGCCTAACTTTGACTATTGCAACCATTAGAGAAATGAACTTGCAGATGAAAGATCTCTTCTCTCTCTCTCTGATGCTCTTTCAAATAAATAAATAAATAAATAAATAAATCTTAAATATATATATACACACATATATATGGTGAAGTAAATTTTTGGAAGAATTTAAAAGGTCAAAATAGAATTAGTGAAACAATTTTTAAAATTTTTTTTATTTGTTTCCTTCAAGAACAGTGATGATTTGGGTTGGGGGAGCTTTTTCTTCCTTTAAGTACAATTTGTGATACAAATTGCAAGAGGAAATCGCAGTCAGCAAGATAAGTCTTGCTTCTCATTCATTTTCTCTTATTTGGTCAATTCTTCTCTCCTCCCTCCCTCTTCTCTTCTTTCCTCCTTTGCTTCCTTTGTTAAGATGACAAATTTTCTATGTATTCAAAATGTGCACCTATTATATGCTGGAGTTTGAGTCTATACTTGAATCCATAGATGTCTCTTTTTTTAAAAGGCAGTAATTCTTCAGTAAAGAGCATATTCTAATATTAAATAGCACTTACCTATGGTGTCTGTGTGCCACTCTGTCACATAAGATTTCACTATACCGTCTGCATTTTCTGCTTCCACTTCAACAGTAAAATAATCTGTATTTGTCACTTTTGGAGGAAAGAAAGAACACGAAGGCCGATTTTCACTTGCAGAACTGTTGGTCCTGCAAGTCTCCTTTTTCTTTGCATATGTGCTTTGAAGGAAAAAGCAATCCAACATGAGTACAACAGTTTGGAAACATAGCCACACTCAATATGTCAAGCAGTATTTGCTAGTTTCACTCTGGATTTATCTTGAGAACTGTATAGTCCAGAATCTGATTGCCCTTTTCTCCAAATGTCAGTAAAAATTACCTCCTCCATGACTCCCTAAGTTGCTATGGCCCTCTCCCCACCCCTGCCTGTAAGCCCATTAAAAGCTACATTGGCAATGGATTTCTTACTGGCAAGAAAAAAACAATGAACAATCCCCTAAAAATTCCAGAGTCTAGCCTTGTAAATTTTTTCTCTAAAAAAGTAAAAGATAAAAAAAGAAATGTTCAAATTTAAAAATGACGGGGTCTGGCACTGTGGTGCAGTGGGTTAAAGCCTTGTCCTGCAGCACCGATATCCCAGTTGGAGTCCTGGCTGCTCCACTTCCAATCCAGTTTCCTGCTACTATGCCTGGGAAAGCAACAGAGGATGGCCCTGTACCCATGTGGAAGACCCAGAAGCAGCTCCTGACTCCTGGCTTCTGATCAGCTCAGCTCCGGCCATTGTGGCCAACTGAAGAGTGAACCAGTGGATGGAAGACCTCTCTCTCTCTCTCTCTCTCTCTCTCTCCTTTTCTCTCTGTAACTCTTTCAAATAAATAAGTCTTTTTAAAAACTTTTAAATAATAAAGAATACTAAAATAAAGGATAGTACATACATAAATAGGATTTCAAATGATGTTTTTGAATACATCTGTATTTATTGACACAGGAAGATGTTCAGGCTCTATTGTTGGTGAAGGAAGCAAGATGCCTACTGCTATGGTTTGGCCATGGTTTATCTCCCAAATGTTGGGGCTTGGTCCTCAGTTTGGTGGCAGGCCCTTAAAGAGATAAGGTCTAGTGGAAGATCCTTAGGTAATGGGGAGTGTGCCCTCAGAAGGGACTGTGGGACCACACTCACTCTGGCTTCCTGCTTGGTAATAATAATCTCCCATACTTGGCATGAACACCCAATGATGACACCAGAGTCTAAACCTGTGGGGTTCCCCAATCTAGGACTTTCCAGCTTCCAAACCTATGAACTCCATAAATGCCTTTTATTTGTCAAGTTAGCCTACCTTGGGTATCTTATAGCAGTAATGAAAAGCACACTAATGTACACATCATATACAGAATGATCACAGTTATATAAACATATATGTAACACGTATATACCTATTTATAGCAACATCTGGAGAGACCTTCATCAACATTTTAAAATTATTACCTTTTTGGGTGGGACTTGGAGGGATATTTTGCATTCTTTATATTTTTCAGGTTGAATATTTTATTATTGGTATATATTCAGAAAACTCATTAAAACAGATAGATGATAGATAGATGAAGCTATTAAGCTGTAACTTAATGAAACAAGTGCTCATATTAGCAGGAATCAGATGGGCAGGCACAGCTAGAGACCATGGGGCCCTGAGGATTATGGAGGAGATGGAATAGGCTGGGAACACTGTCTGCAAGGCGACAGTGATAGCAGGCATGGGGAGAGGGAGCACCGGAAATCATGGGATCTTGAGAGAAGTTCAAGGGCTGTCACAGGCTATTACACGGTTAGCAGTGTGTCACGGTTACAAACATGAGCTCTGGGAGAAGACGAGCTTTAATTCCTGGCTCTGCCCCTATTAGCCAGGTGACCTGAGACAGTCCCTTAACTTCTCTGTGCCTTAGTTCTCTCAGCTGCAAAATCAAGGTGGAAACATGCCTAGCACATGGATCTGCCATGAGAATGAAATGAGCTAATACAAACGTCAGGCTCCTAGTGCTAAGTGTTGGGTGCTATTTCTGGTATTGGTCCCATTTCTGCAGCTATTCATGCTGTAGCCTTTGAGAGACCCCCTCCCCCCATTTCCACACCTCTTCGTCTCTTCTAAGTCTCAGCTCAAACACTACCACCTTCAAGAAGGCATCCACAACTCCTCCTTTTCTTCCCCTAACAGAAAATTATTGTTCTGGGTCCCTATAGGTTTTCACTTATACCAACTGACCCAGCGTAACGCGCTCTCGGAGCCGACTACAGAGAAATCCTTCCATGTTGCTTAGAGGAGATGTTCTTGGCAATAAACTCACAAACTCATTGTCAGCAGTGCAGGAGTCCTAGAAAACAGCAGGCCTGGTGACCCCAGGGCAGACACACCCAGTAGGTTTCCAGTCTACACGGCCAGCTGAGCCACAGAAGAGATGGGAGCAGTGAAAATATCCCTATGTAAGAGGAAATAGGGGTACACCTACCAAGGTTTCTGGTTTTCATTCTACTGATAATTTTATAACTGGGGCCAGCACTGTAGCACAGTAGGCTGTAGGTTAAAGCCCTGGCCTGTAGTGCTGACATCCCATATGGCCACCAGTTCAAGTCCTGGCTGCTCCACTTCCAATCCATCTCCCAGCACCTGGGAAAGCAGTGGAGGATGGGCCAAGTCTTTGGGCCTCTGAACGCATGTGGGAGATCTGGAAGAATTTCCTGGCTCCTGGCTTCAGATCGGCCCATCTCCAGCTGTTGCAGCCATTTGAGGAGTGAACCAGTGGATGGAAGACCTTTCTCCATTTCTCTTTCTGTCTCTGTAACTCTTTCAAGTAAATAAAATAAATCTTAAAAAAAATTCCTGGTCAACACTGGGGCTAGACCAGTAAGTCTGAGAGTTAAAGTCACTTGGACAGGGGGTTATTGGAACTTTATCATTCTTATTCTCCAAAACAGGAGTGAGTGGCCTTTAGCCAGCGAGTAAAATATAGTCCATCTCTATTTTGAGTGGTCCACAGGCTAAAAATTATTTTTATGTTGCTAAATGGCTAAAAATATACAAGTAAAAAGAAGATAAATACTTTGTGGCATGTGAAAATTCTATGAAACTCAAGTTTCAGTGTCAATAAATAAGGTTTTGTTACATTGCCCATTGGTTTCCAGAGTATCTAGAGCAGTTAGAATGAATAGTTCTGACTGACCTTCTTCTAAACCTAAACTATCTAATGTCTTGTCCTGCACAGAATGCTTGCTGACCCCTATTTTAAAGCAGCTGATGCCCAGTAATCCATGCTGCAAAGAATATTGTGTGCGTTTTCCCTTTCTCTCACTGTCAAACAAAGTGGACTTCCTTTACAACATGATACCTTGTGTTTAAAACAAAAAAATTGAGACAATAGACTCCTTTTTTCAAACAGAAAAACAAAAGATCATTTGACCCTGGTTCCCAGCCTGGGCTCCTTATTTCTAGGGGAACAAGAAAGAAGTGATGGATTCCACGAGTGATTTTCAAATTTTCAAAAAGAAAACTTACAATAAAACATTTAACTTTTCATTACATTTACACTTTTAAAGTTGTGATTTTTTTTTATTTTAATAGAAAGAGAACAAAAAAGAGATGCTTGCAAGGCTAGTGTTGTGACGTAGTAGGTAAACCCACCACTTGCAGTGCCAGCATTCCATATGGACACCAGTTCTAGTCCCAGCTGCTCCACTTCTGATCCAGCTCCCTGCTAATGGCCTGGGAAAGCAGTAGAGGATGGCCTGAGTACTTGGCTCCTGAACCCATGTGGGAGACCCGGAAGAAGCTCCTGGCTTCTGCCTTCAGTCTGGCCAAGCCCTGGCCATCACGACCATCTGTGGCGTGAACCAGCAGATGGAAGACCTCTGTCTCTCTCTCTGTAACTCTTCAAATGAATGGATAAATATTTTAAAAATTTCAAAATAAATACACATTTTTTTGAACCAAAAAAAAAAAAAGAAGAAGAAGAAAGCATGCTTGCAGCAGTGAGGAAAATTTGGGAATCTGTCCTGGTGGAAGACTTTGTGACCTGGGTTACATGGCAAATCCAAAACAGATTGAAGTAAGTCGCCTCTTAGTTCTGAGTTCATGGCCCTGCAAAGTCTGTATCCAGGAAGAATGAACAGTTTTGATAACTCATCCTGGAAGGAAGAGGGATGGAGTTGAACACAGTATCCTCCAGTGTGCTTATGGGCACCGCTCCGGCCGATCAGGCAGCTCTGGGAGGCAGGTACAGCGTGGCCACGTCTCCCATTCTCGGTAGCTGCAGACCCTCTCAGTATGGCTGCAGGTAGCCAAAGTCCACCCAGTGTTTACTCACAAGATGTAACTGAGGTTGTTTTACCCTATGAGTGCTTTGACTCCAGAAAGAGTCCAGAACCTTTGCCTCCTCCCTCTGTCTCCCCTGATAACACAAAAGCTCTCCTACTTACTACATTCTCGTAACTGTGTAGTTGGTGTGGTTGATTTCTCTCTCTGGACTCCATGTGCAAGTTAAATTTTTCATATAGTAGTAGACACAAGAAATGTTCTCAGGCTTAGCTGGCAGAGCTAAAAAAATCACAAAACATTGTCACATTAAACATTTTAATGAATATAGGCTCATCAAAAGCCATATTTATTGGTTAGTTGCTGGGTGTGTTTTCCTAATTCATGGAAAGATTCCTACTCCATTTCTTTAATCATTCCCTTTGAAGAGCCAGATTTCCACTTTTTCAAAAACACTTTTTACATTCTTACTCAAAATCAATATTTGGATGGCAAAAATAACTGGACTACCAGAGAAATGTTAAGTATAGCGAACTCCTAAGTAAAGCATCAAATGATAGAATCATTCTAGACAAAATGGTAGTAAACGACTTGAGTGGGAAAGAAAAGTAGAAAATCCTGAACTATCTCATACTTCAATCTTACGCATCAGCAATTTTCTTTTCCCAGAAGATCGTATAACAGAGGAAATCTGGGAAGCACTTTCAGTTGTATTTTTATATCTTAAAAATATTGCTGCCAATAGTTCCCCATCCTGAGGGTCTGAACAGAAGGTGGCTCCCCAGATCCACGCAGATGTTTACTTTAAGTGTTCCACAGGCTTCACCAAAAGACCAAGAGGTTCTTACACACACACACACACACACATGTACACACACACATGCACATACACACACATGCACACACACACGTACACACACATACACACATGCACACACACACAAAGTTAAGAAATAATATCAGTTTTAGACTGAGGGCATTATTCAGTTCTGAGGTTCAAGCTAACTTCTCTTTCTGAGCCTTGGTGAGACCACAGTCTTAAGACACAGGTATTTGTGAGACAGGAAGGCAGTTTAAGTTCTCCTTACATATTTCCCAGAAGTCCTTACCAGAGCGGCAGCAAGAACAAACTCCTCACTTCTAGCAGGTGAAATATGGATGATGGGGCAGGACTAGGGAATGAACGGAAAGTTGGGCAAAGAACCCAGGTGTCAGTGTTCTTGACAGAGGGGGACAAACATGCCAACGAGGGTGACAGAGCCGCCATGCTGTAGTCTGTCTCAGCTGGTGAACTTGGGGGTTGCAAGCCTTTCATCAGAAGCCTCATGTGCCACCCAGCACCAGCTCCAGTATGGCAGGGAGTCCGAACTGCCAGGAGGTCGCCCTGAGGTTGCTCTGCAGTGAGCCCCATTACAGGTGAGTGTAGCATACAGGTATCCTGAAATTTCTGTCTGCCTGAAGGTGTGGGGTAGGGACAAAACTGTGAGACTGGACTTGACCAGGAGGGAGAAGATCCCATACACAGAGGGCTACAGAACTTCAGGAGTAGGGGCCAGCATGCTGCCCCAAAGCCCAGGGAAGCCAGTTCGTCCCCCAGCAGTCATAGCTGAGGGGTTGGAGCACACCAGAATGTCCAGGGAAGACCACAGGGCAACACATGACTTATTCCCAGGGATCCAAGAGCCCTGCTCAAGTCCTTGACGTCACATAAACCCGGGCACCATCTTAAGGAGGAGCAGAGAGGGAGCCAGGGACTTGGGAATAGTGAGCTTCTACCCCAAAGAGGCTAAAACAGAAGAAAGTAAGACAACGTAACAAGTCTAAATGCTGCTCCCTGCCTGCCCTGCTTTGCCACGTCTGCCCTTCCAGCGGAGAGGAGACTTCTCACATCAATCAGGCTGATCACAGAAAATAAGGATACTGTGTTTCTCTGAACATCTGGATAATGCTGTCCACATTTCAACTCTGCCGGTGGTATGACCTCATAACAGGAAGGACATTTTTTATTTTCAAGACTCCAAACCTGTGCCTTTGTTTTCATATACTTGGTCTATGAGATGGGCATTGTCCACCTGGGTAGAGGAGCCCCTGAGGAAGATAACAAGGGAGATAGGGAGAGCTAGAAGCCTCCAGGCTGTATCCACATTTCGAGTTATTTCCAAAAGAGCTGCCTTCCTCCAACTCCTGCACTTGAGCCTTGCTATTCTTGTGTCATAAGTCAGCATTTTAGTTAAAGACTTTCTATGTTGGCTATCTGAGTGCTAAAAATCATGACAAAGTGGGTGATCGCCAAGTCTAAATGCTTAAGAAGGCCAAAGTCTAGCGGACTTGATCCAAATAATACCACATACCGCACAGAGATTAGAGGCTACAGCATGCACATATTCCTCAAAGGGCCCACACAGTTGGAAATTCTCCCTGAGGATTCTTTGGGTCAATAAGTAGAATATTAACAGACCCAGTACTTCACATTGCCAAGGGCAGGCAGCATGCAAAACCCCACAGGAAGGTGAACTAAGGGTCAGCCAATGATGTCCCAAGAATGACTTCCATACCAATCAGCTAATAGATAATGGCAGTGTGTACGTGTAAGTGTGCTGTGTATGGTGTCTGTAGTGTATACTGTATCTGTGGTGTGTGCAAGAAGGTGGGGGATTGGGGAAAATGGTGTGTAGGGTGTGTGTTAGGATAGATGAGTATGTGTATTCGCATGGTATTAATATATGCCAATACTTGTATAACTGTGGTATTCTAACAGCATGATATTGGCAAATGTGTGTGTGCATACACATAACTCTGACTTTAGTCCTTTGATTATGTTCTTACAAATAATCATACAGTAGTAACCCATCCCCCAATCTTCACTAATACTCATTGCACTCAGTCTTAGCAAGATTCAAAGTTGATTCTTAGCTACAGAACAAAGAAACAAGAGTCATTTCCCTGTCTCTTCAGAATATTCTTGGTCTTATACAATCATTCTACTTCATTGTTTTACTTTACTGTTTCCAGTTCAGCTTTCTGGAGGTTTTCCACACTGGACCTGCTAAAGCCTACTGGGTAAGACCTCCGCATCTGCTGCCCTGTCTTTCCCCGTATTGGCAGCCAGTGTGCCTATGTTAAGTTTGATTAAATTTCCCACCAGAAGACTGTCCCAACCATTGTGTAAAGTTGTGACAGAGCAATGAAGGGCACCATTTTCCACCCCCAAATCCAGGAATACTGGCCAATACTCAACACTGTCAGGGTCATTACAAATAAGGAAAGATGGAGAAACTGTCGCAGACTTAAAGACGGTAGGGAGACATGACATTTATGTCACCCTGAATTGGATGCTGGAATCAAAAGAAGTCATTACCAGAAAACCTAAGAAAATACATAAAGTCTTAAATATAATCAATAGTAATGTGTCACTATCAATCCTTTAATCTTGGGAAAGGTACTGGGGTAGGGTAAGATGTCACCCATGGAGGAAAGGGGATATGGGGCATAGAGAAACTCAGCAGCACTCTCACACTTTTTCTGTTAATTGAAAATTGTTCAAAAATGAGATTTCTATTTTTTAAAAAGTGGAAAACTTGAGGCTAAAGTTGTCACTTGTTCCTATCTACTTTTTTCCACACTCTCAAAAGCAGAAAAAAAAATGAAAAACCCATTACAATATTCCCTATTTCTAGAATTATTAGGGAAAACATTTTAAGAAAGATTAGAAGAGGGTTCTTGCTTATCTGAGAATTTCCCATACATAGGAGGGCGTTTTCCAAAGCTGCAAAATCCCGGTCTCCTTTCTGTGCTCATACCACTCTGGAGGTGTTCAGAAGCTAGTGTTTTAAAAACTATTTGGAAATAGAGGAAAAGCATAGCTGAGCGGGCAAGGGAAGGATATTTTAGATGGGAAATGCAGTGGAAACTAGAGCCACTTTTGTAGGACATGGTGTAGAATGAGGCAAGAAAACCACAGAGAGGTAATAGAAAAAGACGAACTGCGGAACAGGTGGCCCCACAGGAGCCGGGATACACATAAGCAGAGCCGTTGATTTGAGGCTGACTGGGAGAGACTCCATGATGGGTCTAGCCACAGGCCCGCCTGCAGTGTTGTCCATAAGCCCATGAGAGTCCTGAGTGCCGCAGGTGTGCCCCAGGGGTTGCCACGCAGGCCATCCCGGGACACAGGTCTTAGAGACTTTCTCACTATCCCTGGGTCATGACTGCCCTCTTGATGACCTATGGGCTAAGTTGTGCCCACCCCCCATCACTCATATGTTAAAGCTTTAACCCCCAATAGCTCAGAACAGGACTCTAGCCAGAGACAGGCCCCTTAAACAGGCGAGGAAGTTACGAGGCAGCTGTTAGCTGTGTAGACCTTGCCTTTGTTTCTGTTATACTGCTTTTCAGTGTTGTATTGAGCATCTTAAGTGCTGTAGAAAGATGCCACTTCTTCCTTTAAGGTTGTTTTCCAATATATATAAGGACTGGAATTGTGTTTTTGAAGACAAGCATTCAAGTATGACAGTATATTATCTGTGTTTCCACCATTAACTGTTGCTTAGTAGTTGAAACTTAAGACTATTTAATGTCATTTAGTAAAATGACCAAACTGTGGGAAAAAAAAGAAGGGGCCATTAGATTGGGTCCTAATCCAACCTGAGTCCTTACCAGAAGGAGAAACAGCAGGGGCGAGTGGGTACAGAGGGATGGCCATGTGAAGAGACAGAGAGGACTAGACCTCCAGGCTCCAAAACTGTGAGACGATGACTTTCTGCTGTTTAAGCTTTTCCGTCTGTGGACTTTTGTTGTGCTGACCCAAGCAAGCTAACATGATGCCTTCTCTGCCTTCCCAGTGCCCAGCCCCCTACTTATCCTATGGTTTCGCATTTTGTTTACTATAAAACATGACTGAATTAAGGAATCTTGGACCTGCAAGGTATTGCAGAGATGGCAGGCTCATAGTCTCGAGTCGGAACACTACAGAAATACTGTGTTTCATCGTCTCTTCTTAAATCCTTGGAATTTACGGGAAACTGTGAAACTATATATTTTTGCATTTACATGTGTTTGTCATATGAGACCACAGAAATTAACACAAACTATGAAGAAAAGCCTTTGGTGATCATACAGCCTTTTGAAAAATATGATAGGTCATCTTACCAAATTTACATATGCAAGAGTATACATGAACACCCATGAATACACACACACACACACACACACACACTCCAGGTGTTCACAAACCGCCTACCACACCCATCTGTGAATGCCCACTGCCCAGGTGTCCCCTCACGCTGCAGTGTCCTGCTGGAGGCAGTAAGAACACATTATTCATCAAAGAGCCCAGGCTGCCCTACCTGCCAGGCTGCATTTGCAGAGAAAAGGGAGCATCCACAGTGCCCAGGTCCACATCATCCCCAGGTTGACTCAGGAAGCTTGGAGAGACCTGCAAGTGTCACGGGCCAGGAGTCAGTTTTCCAGTGCTTTTCCACAACCCTACTCCAGTGCCAAACAGATTCTGGGGATTTGGTGGGAGAACGGGTAAGGAAGGGTCCTATTTTACTGAACTGTATTTTGTTGGTTACTATCATACAGGTCCCTTCATGACTACTCCATCAACCCCAGTCAGCATTTTAAAGATGTGCTATTACAGTACACTCTCCTCTTGTCCATAATCCAGTCTCTGTTTAACATAGGAAGGGTACTGACCACCAAGAATATCGTCCAGAAAGAAAGTACCATGAGTGTGTAGGATCTGAGGCCATCCCCTGACCACTGCCTCTGCCTCTGAGCAGGCCAGCCAAATGGAACAACTCGCAGGTTCACACCACACTATTTCCCTTCCCCATGTTCTGTACAGGCCAGTAATGCTCTTCTCTTCCTTTTCTGGAAAGTGAATCATTTTCTAGACTCATGCAAGGCTAAGCTCCTCTGAATTCCCACATGGACGTGAGTGGTCAGTCTCTCCCTGGTGCCCCAGCTCCACTGCTCGTTGTCTGTGCCACAGTGTCACCTGTCACATCCGTCACACAGGAGGGTGCCTGGAAGTCCACCTGTCGGCTTCCCATCCTGCAGGGAGCATCCAGAGGTAGAGCTCCTCTCCTTCTTCCTTGAAGACTTAGCATTGAGGGCAGCGCTTAAGGAATGTGATTGCTAATCAGAGCAGAAACACTGCTGACCCCTCATCTCATCCCAGGCGACACAGAGAGTGGGAGAGTGTAGGAGTAAAAGCAATAACTCATTTCAGGAAAAAGTAAATGATGCTACATTTTCATTTGACAGAAAGCGGGGTGGGGGGGAGAACACTTGACAAAATAAATCATCTTGGAAAAATTGACATGCAGCATTTCTGGATGGATAACATTTTTTCATAGACAAAGCAACTGGAACTAACTCATTGAAAAAGGCCTAAGGTAGAAAAAGCACACAGAGAATCTGGGACTGTAACAATGCAAAGGCCACCAGGAAACAATGACAGCCCGGCTACCCCACAGCAAGCTTCGTGCCTCCCAGTACTCAGTAGCAGTAGGCTTTTCATCAAAAAATAGCTGCTTTCAGACTCATAGAATGGCAGATGTCCTAAATAGCACTCTGGCCTCAGAATCAGCCCTAAAGCCATTCAGATCTGGCTGAAAAGCCCATGAGAGTATTTCAGGCATGGAAAGCCAAGACACTCTGGCAAAAAGATCTCTGCGAGTGAGATCCCAGTGGAAAGAACAGGTCTTCAAAGAAGGAGGTACCTTTCTCTGAAGGGAGGAGAGAACCTCCACTTTGACTATGACCTTGTCTAAACAAGATAAGAGTCGGAGAACTCAGAGGGCTTCCATAGCCTTGGAAACTCATGACTGGAGCATAGGGAGATTACTGATGCCATAGACAGGAGTGTCAATTTGTAAAGTCAACAACAGGAGTCACTGTGCACTTACTCCTCATGTAGGATCTCTGTCCTTAATGTGCTGTACATTGAGATTTAATGCTATAACGAGTACTCAAACAGTATATTTCACTTTGTGTTTCTATGGGGGTGCAAACTGTTGAAATCTTTACTTAATGCATACTAAACTGATCTTCTGTAAAAAAAAAAAAAAAAAGAAATTATCAATTCCCAACTGGACTCTCACTGGGATTAAACATGACAATAGGTCTGATCTGATTTCATCATCATTAAAAAAATCATCTATTATTTTTCACTTTATGTTTCTGTGTGGGAGCAAACTGTTGAAATCCTTACTTAATGTATACTAAGCTGATCTTCTGTATATTAAGAGAATCGAAAATTAATCTTGATGTGAATGGAAGGGGAGAGGCAGTGGGAAAGGGGAAGGTTGCGGGTGGGAGGGACGTTATGGGGGGGAAGCCATTGTAATCCATAAGTCGTACTTTGGAAATTTATATTCATTAAATAAAAGTTATAAAAATAGCTGCTTTGACTTAAATGAGTATAAAACATAAAAGGAAAAACATTTTTTGACAAAGACTGTGTGTCTTTAAAAATCAATCGTAATACTAATAGCACTCTTCTGTGTACAATTATTCAAGAAGTTGTCTTAATTTTCTCCATCTCTTAGGCAGAAGAGGTGCCTCTGGCTTTATTAGTTCATGTTATTTATGAGTCCCAAGAGCACATTGGAAAGAAAGGGAGTCCAACTGTGAAGATTCTATAAAACCAGGACGCTGGGGCAGGCATTTGGTGTGGTTAAAATACTGTACTAGAGCACCTGGATTGGAGTCCTGGCTCTGCTTCCAATTCCAGCTTCCCGCTAATGAGCACCCCAGGGGGCTCAATATTTGTGTTCCTGTCACCCATGTGGGAGACCTTAATTGAGGTCCAGGCTTCTGGCATCAGCCTGGTCCATCCCCAGCTGTTGAGGGCACTTGGGTAGTGAACTGGCAGATGTGAGATTGCTCTTTCTCTCTCAAATGAAAAAATATAAATACATAATTTTTAAAAGATTTATTTGAAAGTCAGAGTTACAGAGAGAGAGAGAGAGAGAGAGAGAGTCTTCCATCCTCTGGTTCATTCCACAGTTGGCTGCAATGGCCAGAACTGTGCCAATCTGAAGCCAGGAGCCAGGAGCTTCTTCCAGGTCTCCCACACAGGTTCAGGGGCCCAAGTACTTGGGCCATCTTCCACTGCTTTCCCAGACCATAGCAGAGAGCTGGATCAGAAGTGGAGCAGCCGGGACTCGAACCAGAGCCCATATGGATTCTGGACGTGCAGGTGGTGGCTTTACCCACTACATCACAGTGCCAGCCCAATAAATACATAATTTCAAAAAGATGTTGGTGGTCTCAATAAATGAATAAATGAACAATTAGGTATACAAAGGGTAAAGTTATGACAAGTAGTTTTCTATTTTAAATCTTATGTTAAATATTGAATAAAATAATATACAAGTATTTTAAGTTAATAATTATTTCTTGATTTCTTTATGATAAGAATATTGGTGAAATTTTAAAAAGAAAATAAAGTCAATAGTACTAAATCCTATCCAGAGTCAAAGCTGGGAACCCTGCAGCAGCTGAAGTGTGCTTTCTAGAAAGAGGCTGAGTCTGGCCCTGGCCTACAAATTACGTGGTGACTGCAAGCAGCCCCTCAGTCATTCAGCACTGTGCCAGCCCCGGGCTGGGGCACAGGGGGCACATGGGCAACAAAAGGAGCCGTTTCTGACTTCAAAGAGCTCATTCTAGTTGGGTGGCTTTTAACACGGGGAAATGGCAAAGGACAGGGAGGATGACAGCAGTGCTTTCACAAAGTACAAATACCAGAAGGAGCTACTGTCTCTGATGACTCCCATGTCATATTCTTCAAGTGGGTCTGAGCAGGAAAGGGGTTGAGAATCACTGGTCTCCTTGCAGAGACACAAGCATGGCCAATGGGACAAGTGTTGTGGTACAGTGACTAAGCCACTGTCTATGACACCTGTGTCCCTCACCAGAAAGCCAGTTAGGGTCCCAGCAGAGAAGGATGGCCCAAGTGCTTAAGCCCCTGCCAGCTACATGGGAGAACCAGATGGAGTCCCAGGCCTATGGCTTTGGCCTGGCCCAGTCCGGACTGTTACTGCTACTGAGCCACATGGGGAAGGATCTCCCTCCCTCCCTCCCTCCCTCCTTCTCTCTCTCTCTCTCCCTCCTTCTCTCCCTCTCTCTCCCCCTCTTTCCCTCCCTCCCTCTCCCTCCTTCTCTCTCCCTCTCTCCCTCCCTCCCTCTCCCTCTTCTCTCTCTCCATCACTCCCCTCCGTCTCTCGATCTCTCTCCCGTCACTCGCTCCGTCGCTCGCACTCCTTCTCTCTCCCTCTCTCCCTCCCTCCCTCTCCCTCCTTCTCTCTCCCTCTCTCCCTCCTTCTCTCCCTCTCTCTCCCCCTCTCTCCCTCCCTCCCTCTCCCTCCTTCTCTCTCCCTCTCTCCCTCCCTCCCTCTCTCTTCCTCCCTCCTTCTCTCTCTCCCTCCCTCCCTCTCTCCCTCCCTCTCTCTTCCTCCCTCCTTCTCTCTCTCTGCCTCTTTCCCTCCCTCCTTCTCTCTTTCTCTCCCTCTCTCCCTCCCTCTCCTTCCCTCTCTCTCCCTCCCTCCCTCTCCCTCTCTCTCCCTCCCTCATTTTCTGTCTCTCTCCCTCTCCCCTCCCTCTCTCTCCCTCCCTCCTTCATTCTCTCTCCCTCTCTCCCTACCTCCCTCTCTCCCTCCCTCCTTCTCTCTCTCTCTCCCTCTCTCCCTCCCTCTCTCTCCCTCCCTCCTTCTCTCTCCCTCCCTCCTTCATTCTCTCTCCCTCTCTCCCTACCTCCCTCTTTCCCTCCCTCCTTCTCTCTCCCTCCCTCCTTCTCTCTCTCTCTCCCTCTCTCTCCGTGTGTGTGTGTGTGTGTGTGTGTGTGTAACTCTTCCCTTCAAGTAAACAATCTTTCAAAAAATGATGTCCAGTATCACATGGGAAGTGCCATAATGATACCAGTGCAGTGAGCATGCAGGGCCTTGAAGGAAAGGAGCTAATGATTGAGGGGAGCCAACAAGTGTTGCCCCTGTAATGATCCCCCGACCCCCCACCAGTGTGCCCATCCTCCAGGGGCTTTTCCCTTTTCCCTCTCCCCTCCGGGGAACCACCTCAAAAACAGCTGCTTGCTGGAAAAGAATGCAAACCCGTGGAAGGTGCCTCCCAGAAGCTGATGAGTGAGTCCAGCTGAATTCTGCCTGAAAAAAACCTGCGCACAGAGGTGACCCCAGTAATCTGTGCTTGGGCAAATGGGCCATCGAAGGGCTGAGTTCACTGGAAACTCCCAGCCAAAGAAACCTGAGTGTGATCTCAGAGCATTGGATCTGGAAAATAATTCTTATTTAGTTCCAAGAAGCCACTCAACTAATTATGTCCTAAATGGAAGACTTTGGGACAGAACAGAGAGGTCAGCTTAGAATGCAGAACACAGATGGTTTAAAAGACGAGACGCCAGCAGTTGTCCCC